ACTTTTCACAAGTGAGGCTAATTTGTAAATACTGCTCCACAGCGCTGCTTACGTCATTAGTTGTTCTCAGGCTTCCAGATACTTAAAGCAGTCACACAAAAGAGCATTGGCTAATTGTTTCATCATGATGTGTATTCATATTTAATGTATGGGCATTTTCTCCTGCAAAAACATGGTCATTAGTAGGATCTTAACAAATACATATTCTCATAACTTGTTGTGAGTGTTTTTATCTCCCAAACGGAATTCAGAATCATGTTATCAGTGGTGACTTCAGGCACATTTATAGGAAGTGAGGCGATGAGCAATTGTTGTGTTTTCTTTGTTCATAACAAAGATTCATAAAATAACTTTCACGACACAAGTAACAACCCTGTTTTTTAATCTAAACACATTAAATATGTTTCCTTTGATCAGGCAAGTGCCTGAGAGAAATGTTCAACCCAAAAACAAAAGTAAAATTGTAGATATAAAACAAAAGTGTTGCAACTTTCAGGCCTCTAGAGCTCATGGCCCTAAACGCACAGAAATGCATTGCTAGACACGCATGGTGTTATTACGTTATAATGTTCCAGGGCTTGACTACCTAACCACTGCCTTCCTGTTTGGATGCCTGTGGATGTGGTGGGGCGAGGTTACGTTTTGGCCTGTTAGAGAGCTGCTTAATATGGGAGAGGAAATTCATATGTCATGTTGTGTTGGTTTCATGTAGGCTACGGTGAGGAAGGGAGCTAATGACGGAACGGGCAAATTCATTATCGGCCCCTCGGGGACACAGTGACGTTTTATCAGACCTGCTTTGCCAGGAAGTTTTTGAAGCGGTCGCGTATGAAGCGCCGCGTCTCAGCGGGATCAGCACCAAAGGCTAATAAAAGTTAAAATGTTAGAGGTGCGTTAAAAAGGGTTATGCTAACTTTAAGGCGTCTAAAATACGCTGGAAAAAAAGTGGTGCAGTGCAAGAGAGGAGCATTCCCTGGGCGCGGTCTACCAAACTGTCATAAGAACACGTCTTGGTGTAACCGGGCGCCAAGGGGCAGATGTGAGATGTGTCACTAGAAACGCTTCAGCAGAGAGCCACTTCGACAGATAAATCATTGTTTTCCTATGACTACGATGCGCCTGCCAAGCATTCCTCTGTTGCTCCATTTGTTTTTCTAGCTGTTGTTCAGGTCCTACGCCCTGACCAATTGGATATTATGAGCCTAACCTCTTGAGGTCAGTGTATAACCTTAACCAATTGTCTCAACCAGCTGTGCTGGGCTGGTCTTGCCTGGAAGAGAAGTGGAATGGGGCCAGCTAACTACTTAGCTGTGGGACGGTGCGAGGCCTTCGGGGTCAAATCAATTGGTGGACCCCATGGAGCGGGACTGCTTGCACCACCGGGTGATCAAATGGGATCAAAGGTAAAATTTGGTGACAATGGGCCAGTGTCTTTGAGATAGTAAAAAATGAAACTATCACAACATGAGCTGGTTCTCACAATACAACAGCAAACCTGCTCGTCCTACCAGGCGATTTGATCAGCTACCTTGTTCAAGTGAAAGAAGGCTCCGAATGGCATTGAAAAGTTACAGTTATTTAAATGTTTATTTGCATCTAGAAAATCCCAAAAGCCCATGTGATTGACCTTGGGGGAAAATATAGGCTTTAGACTACACTTCCATGTGTGAAAGGTTTAAGGAAAATGATTCAATTGATGATCAACTTCACATCATGGTATACATTCTAAACAGTCTAAATTACATTTCAGTACTGTTAATCTGCAAGACCCTGATCAGACAGAACACATCTCTCTACAAAAAGAGAGGCCCACCTCTCTGCACCCCGCCTGAATGTGTGCTACAAAAACAAACATGAACTGTACACTATGATATTTTAAATATCTGTAAATATAAATATAAATTTAAATCATTGCATAATCAAGTAGCTCAGGGTATCCAGAATAACTTATCACATGATTTTTTCAAACTCTGGAGATGCAGGACGCTCCTGCAAAGCTGACCCAGAGCACTCAGCAACGCAAAAGCAGCGGGCAAACGTCTTCACCTGATCCAGTAAAAACCAAATACAAAGCATGCTGCACCAGGTCAGGTACAGTATACGTCAACTAGCTTCTAGTTGTGACTCATGCATCGCAGCGCTTTCCAAACTCATTAGATTAGAGCAACAATGAGAAGGCAAATTGTGTCTGACTTTCTATTTGTAATTATTGTGGTGTTGTGAGGGCACGGGGGCATTTTATTTTCTGTCCGATTATTGAATTCTTGCCTCTCTCCTGTGCCGAGTTGTGTTTTGGTGCGTGACCACGAGCTTTGTGGTTTTCCAAGCCTCATGGGACCAATTCCCATTATTTACTTGACTGTGACCCTGTATCATGACCCCTCAAGTCTCCCATTCTCCAGAAGCCTACTTTTAAATTGCCCATCTAATGGCAAACCTGCATTTTTACTCAACTGTAATGAATGCTCCAATTACGCAGAAGGTGATGGAGGCGAATTTCCTATGATAGACGGTGTGATTGGATCTCCCACACTCTCTCCTTCACTATCTCTCCGCTCTTCAAGCATTCCAACAGACCTGTGGTCAGCACTAGCTGCTGGGGAGGAAACTAAGCCTCCACTCGTGGTAATGCACCCTCTCAGTGCACTGCCAAGCCGTGCACCAATGAGGTGACTGCAAAATTAAGTGCTCGAAATAAATGAATTCATTCTGGCAGAAATGTGTCAAATGACCTTTCCGCTGCTCATTACACATGGTGCACATTAGACCAGAGAAATGCTCCTATTGTACGGGATCCTTTGTTTCCCCCCCTCCCCTCTGCGCTGTCAAAGGGGAATGGTCATTAATTGAAATCATTTCCATGTGTAAGGTTGTGCAGATCCCTCCTCAAGGTGTGTCAATGGGTCGATAGATATTTGGACTGTGCAGTGGTGTCAGGTGATAAGAACTCCAGTCACACTGCGCTAAATGACTGCTGAAGCTCCATAAAACCGATTCAAGGGCAGAGGAGATTGTCCCAGCGGACTGTGTTCTGACAGCAGTGACGACGGTCACCGTTCAAAGGTATTGAAATGTTTTGGACCACTCATTGGTGGGCACATTTTTTTCCCCTCTGATTAAAAGGTTGTTGGTGAGAACTGAACAGTCTCTCTTTGCAGCCGGCGTCCCCCTGCTCGACTGAATGCCGGGCATTTCACCCGGCTCTGTGCACAAGAGAGGAGGGCTTATCCTAATGCAGAGGCTGCCTGTGTGGCTGCCAAGGAGAGATGTGGCTTTAAGAGGCCCATACATGGCGTTGATTAGTTTTACTGAGCGGGTATGCAGAGACCAATAAATTAAATATGAATAAATTAAAAAAGTACTCTAGCAGAAAATTGCTTGGAAAACAACCACCTACCCATTAAAATATGTATAGTAATGCCTTTTATGTGAAGTAACTTGGGATTAGATATCACTGTAAATTAACACGCCATCCAACCATAGTCAAGAACTTTTCACTTTCAACAAGGACTTAGAAAAGGTATTTACTCCAATGTGTTCGGTAATTAATTTGATATTCAAATGGGCTAACGTGAGTATTATAATTGCAAATATCCCAAATAAGAGTAGTTCTAAAAGGGGTAGTGTCAACAAAGATTGATGAGGCTTGCTTTGAAATTGCCATCTGTTTTAAGTGTTCACTTGCCCCTCCCCCACCGCCCCCCTTTCTGTGGAAAGCCACCATGGTTTACCCCTGCCACTTGGCCGTATATATCCGTATTTTGGGGGGGAGTGTTCAGGGGGTGCTGTGGTGCTGCACACACACACACACACACACACACACACACACACACACACACACACACACACACACACACACACACAACGTAAACATTGAAGGGGATCAGGAACATCAGCATGTGTGATGAGCTCCCACAGATAACGTCTCCGTAACATTTCCATGACATTGTGGCTGTGTTACCTCATTACCACAATGTCACAGCAGCAGTGAGGATGTTGCGTTTGGGGTGAGGATGGAGGAGAGTACCGTGGGGGGTGGAGGGTGGGAGGGGGGTCACCTGCAGGTATCTGCAGATGAGCTGATTAATTAAAGGGATCTTTATTAAGGTTATTGAGATGAACCCCTCTCCTCTCTCTGAGCCGCCCCATCCATGCTCCTCAGTGGTTAAAGGTGGATGGAGCAGGGGGGGGGTCCAATGGAGGGGAAGCATCCTTGCCTCTTTTGACATTAGCCCGCGTGTTCCCACTTTAAACGCCCCATGACTCTCGCCAGAAGTGCCTCTCTGCACCCCACCTTTGCAAGAGTGACACTCTCTTCAGGCTCCAAAATGGGGCTGCAGAGTTTTAATCCCTTCAGCCCATCAACCCACCCACCCTTACTTCCATCTGTCAGGAGCACTGCTGGAAGAAAAGGGAGGAGGGTTTTTGGGGGGAGGGTGGGCAGGTGGAGCGCATCCCTTGTTCCATCTCGACGAATTTTCTAATTTCCTTTGCCTCCATGCTTTGTCCCAAATTTACGCCCCTAACCTATCCACCATACAGCCTCCCCTGTTGTCCCCCCACCCCCTGCCACCTCTTTCTCTATTGTTTTGGTCAAAGAAGTGAAAGTAAAAACAGAGGCTACTGTTGGATTGCGACAATACAAACCGTCAGTATTTGAAAGCATCTACACATCAGATGAAAAACCGTCTTCCATATATTCTTTGGAGTATTTCAGTGACTTTAAATGTGTTGCATCTTGAGTCAAGCGCTATCATCATTTGCTGTAGGTCATATTATTTTCCAGCACAAACCAACTCTTCATGTTGTCCTATACTTAATCAAACGTCTGGCATGATACAATGAAGACCATATGCTGAATTTAGATCTTCACCAAAAGTTGCCATACAGACGGTGGTCTAAAGAGAAAAACATTTGGCAAAGACAAATCATTGTGGGTTTTTTTTTCTTTCACTTTTCAAATTACAAATCAACCAAATCACATCACACCAAATCAAACCAAAAAATAAGCAGGTCTTATTTTATTTCATTCATGTCATGAAGACATTACCATACAATATATTCATTAGCGACAAGTTACAGTGTTAACGGGCAGTGTTTTGTGCAATCATTTCTAATTACTACTCTTCATGCACAAAACCAGGTAGTAAGCTTTAGGGATAGAACTCTCCTGTCAGATTAACTCCAGGAAATTAAGTCAGACATTTACTACAGCTCCATCTGCTGTTTAGACCCGTCTGGGCAAACCACAGGCAGATAGTATGTCAATAACGTTGAAAAGTGTTGCAGTCACTTGGCAAGCAGCTTGAATCATAGATGAAGATAATTCATTTGTCTGTTTTATTTAAATGTAGAAATTTATTTTGAAGACAGTTTTAACAACTGCACACTACGTTGACACCCTAGTGGACACGGCCCGTGCATGCGCACAGAAGCTCCATTGTTGGCCCTCATTCACTTCAACATGCAAATGTGTGGATTTGAAATTCAGCCTCTGTGTGTTATGCTTGACTACTTTAATGTTGTATCTATGCTGGGGATTATTCTCTCTACAGCGGAAAAACCTGTGCTTGAATGGCAGTGCCCTCAAAGTAGCTCCTACTACTTTGAATGGCCTCCAAACGAGATTAGGCCCGCGGCTGCTCTCAGTCCCAATCCTCTGCATTCACATGGAGCGTAGCCAGCCTGTGTGACGGGGTTTTCTGTTTTGACACTGAGTGGATGCAGTCACTGCGCATGTGGCGTTTTGGAATTGACAGGTCACTTCGGTCGTTGAAATAATATCCAATAAAACATCCTGTGCTCTTTGTGTCTGCAATTTAACAATAAAATCGAGAAACCATAAGAAATATTTATCATGTTATTGAAAGTGAAATATGACACACACAAAAAATGTGCAACAGTTCTGTTGTGCAATACTTGGCACATTTTAAGTACATCGTCATAAGTATATAGACACACACACACACACACACACACACACACACACACACACACAGATGTAATCACACGTTACTGCTAATTTTGAGGGAATCAATTTGTACTTTTTTTTTTACAAAAATTGTTGAAAATATTAGAATAGATTACTACATATTGCACTTCCAGCTCATGACAAAGACATTTCCCAATGTAAAGAATGATCTTTCATTTTTAACAAAAGATATTTTTGCATTTCTGTATGCAAAATACATACATTACCATATATATAATAAAGGATGCCATAATGAATGACTGGATGTGCTGCCAGGTAGGAACTCAAATAACTATTAAATAACCGGTTGTATTAAGGAATTATCTGTGCTGTGAGCTCTCTTTCCGGATGCTGCTTTATAATAAAAGCCTTCAATCAGATTCTACAAGTCATGAAAAACTCATTCTCATTCTCAATGCGGTTCACAACAAAAAAAAAAAAGATTAGGGAGTCTGTATTTGGACTGTGCAACAGCAGGCATTTCTCCAGCAATTTGGCCCCATGTGGGTCACACCTCAGACAGGGGCCCTTCTCTTTGGCATGAGGCACTGAGGTCGGACCCTCAGTGGTCTTCGACTTGAAAGACTTGAACTATTTGACACTGCGGTCACTGCTTAGTCGCTGGTCATCACAAAAAAGGTTGCACCATCCACGGCCGTTTCACTGACATCACTGCTAAATTACAGAATTAAATAACATGAAGTGTATATTAGGTTCCCCTTCTAAGTTCACCCAATAGAAAGAAAGTGAGCAAACAAGAGGGAAAAATTCAGTGTGCTCACTTTTCACTAGTGTCCCGTCTTTCTCTGCCTCAAGTGATAAGACCGTCCAATGCTTGAAGAGGTATTGGTCTTAAAGTTTGCGGGGGGCAGTCCTACTTTTATTGGAGGTAGAAGGTCTCTGGTCGTCCACCCTACTGGGCTCGGAGGCTGGTTTCTGTCCGGTACTGACGTCCTTCATGTCCTGAGGTCTTTGCTGCTTTGCACTCGGGTGTCTGGACGGTTTCATCCCAGCATGAGACTGCAGGGATAATATACATAATCTTCTTACATTGCAGAATTAACTATCACATCCATTTTAAAACAGCTGCATCAAAACACCTTCATCACCATCTTCTGCAATAGGTAACTTTGGCACCATCTAGTGGTCAATAAATATGGAAACCAGTGGGCATGACAATAACAAAGACTAAAGGCAATTCAATTAGAAAACCTGTCTTTAAACTTCAAACTAGTTCAAATGTATAGTAAGATAAAAAATCTGCAGGTTACAGTGAGTTGTTTTGGAAACATATCAAAACCTATTCAGTAAAGAACAAATTGAATTTAGACTGAAAAGGCCTCGTCGTAGGTGGTTCACCAAACCTACCTGTTGGAGCCGTCCCGGAGATTTAGAGCTTTTGTTTCGCTTGTCCCTCTGAAGGAAGCCACCGCTCTCTTTAGTCTTATTCCAGGATACGAGAGAAAGAGGACAAAATGTTACCCAGACATCTAAATTATGTTCTGATTTGTTTCAAAAACTGTCGAACAATACGAGATTCACATTCATAATTACCACTTCTATAGCGACACAAGTGATATCTAAAAATCTTGAACTGATAAAAGCAATAACTAAAATATTATTTAGAAATAATCAGCAAAAACTTTGCTAACAGGATAGTCTTATTTAAAAACAGGAAATTACCACATGAGGTAAACTGTGTGGAAGCAGAAGTAACACTACTTAAATAGATAAGTAAAGACATCTTTGAAATATACATAGCCAAATGTGGAGCTGAGCAAAAACAGACATACGGGCTTGGTGGATGTGGAAGGTGTGCGGACGCTGCCGTCCTCCTCAGCGTGGCTCCAGCGTTTGCCGTATGTTGCTGTTGAGGCTTCGCTGGGGACCAGCGGTGCATCTGGCGAGTCGTCCACAGTCTGTGTTCCTATTGTGGACAATTTAAAATAACATCAACATCAAGTAACCTCACGTGTCTTTTGTTTCACTCCTCCTCTCCGTTCCTCAGTACTCTTCACTGTATGATCATTAAATGCCCCGTTGTACATATTACAATTAGTTTCTGGTATGCAGATTTTTTACTTATTTGACCTTTTTTGCTACTGGATTTTGCACAGCTATCACTAGTGAGCGAGTTTATTTCTGATTTCTGGTGGGTTGTTATCTGTGAAAGTATCACAGTATCAAGACATGTCAAACACGGTATTGTAGAAAAAACTCAGGGTAAACTGCAGGTAACCATAGCAACAATACAAAAGCTTAACTTAATATAAATGAAACTGGCTCTGCCTCCACTTTGTCAATTATATTCATACTGTACACCAGAATATATTGTTGTATATTATTGCTTATACAATAATGATTATTCAAGTTACCATGACATGGATTTAGTTATTTGAATCAAGTTAAATTTATCATCGTCTTACTCTCTCTCTGTTCAGGGAGGTCGAGAACCATCACCAGCACATTGGACGGCATAGCAGGCACATTAGTGTCCCCCTGTTGGACAAAGCAGCCAGTAAGAGCTCCTAGTGTGACTCATTTGGTGAATTTTATTAAAGCAGCTGGAACAATCATTGCCTTACTGTAATCCAGGGGTTTTCTAAAAGCTGATTAGCCGACATGCGGTAGGCGGGGTCCGCCTTCAGAAGGCAAGTCAAAACATTTTTTGCTGTTGAGACAGACTCGAGCCAATCGGTGAGCTCGTCAGCAACAATCTGAAGAGTAAGACTGCAATGCAACATACTGTACTGTAATTCATTTATCTCAGAGTTTCACCTGCATCGCTGACTGTGCCCCAGATGGGTTGAAGAAATGTGACTTCTCTGTTCATAATCTCCTTAAGAAGGTCTGCTTTTGTTTGGGACAAAAACGGAGGCTCCCCACACAGCCTATAGGGACACACAGCGCAGATACATGTATTCCTTCACACTCAGTAGACATCTATGCGTTTGTGTACATATAGTATGTGTGTGTGTCTACTTACAAAATGTACATAACGACACCTATGCTCCACACATCACACCAGTGGCTGTAGCCACGATCACTCATCATTTCCGGTGCTGAAATTCACATGCATACACAAAGGTTTGCCTTTTTTTAAGTTGAAATAGTTTTGACCCACATATCATTAGTGGCAAATATTGAAGAGAATGTTTTTAGATTCTAGTTACTTGAAAACCCTCCGTCTCATGCAGACGCTAAAGAGGGGCTTTTGCTGTAACAAGCCGGTCTGTCGGTCTGTGCACAGATTTTGTCACTGTGGTACCGTCACACCCGTGAAAGATACAGTTACAAAAGTTTACAGGTGTGTAGTTGAGATTTAAATGAGATTAGAGAATGGCACAGAGTAAGGGGGCCGGAGGTGGTGAAGGGTCCGTTGGTCCGTTTCCTGCCTTTTCCTGCTAATTGCGAATTTCTTTTCGCGAAATAGCATGAAAGTCATGTACTATTTTAGCTTGCACGCACGACACATGTTTAATCCTAACGTTGGCTTGCTATTTGAGCAAAAGATGCAAACCGAACTCCAACCAAAGTAATAAAAGAACTCTGCTCCATAGCAGCACTATCAGTAAAAATATTAGCAGGGTACCTTAACGTATAGATATAAAAACACCAGGAATGCCTGATTCAGAAGGAGTACACATTTACTTCTTTCCACTTCTGAAATGAATATAAACATGTTTAACTTTGGCACCCCTTAGTGAGAGAACCTCAAAGATTCTGTGGCAAATAAAATACTACACAGTAATTCAAGCTCTATCCCTGTGTGCTACTCGCATGTTTAAGGAGATATGTGAGGTGTCATACCCATATAGGTAAGAGTCCCACAGGCCTCCTTCATTATGTTCTCAATGCCGACACCGTTTGTCTTCACCGATAGTCCAAAGTCTGTCACCTAGGCAAAGAAAAGCACTTAATAAAAACGGGGATACAAATAAACATGAAACGTGCGGATGGAACTCAGTCAATAATCAGTTAAAAGGTGCTTTTGTCAGAAAAACAAGCCTGCAGGTGGAGCATCCTTGACTATCGACATGGATGTTTAGGCTGTACAGGAACCCCTATTTGTAAAGGGTTATCACATTATTATAACAGCAAAAAACAAATCCAGAAGACAAGACTCTTAAAACCGTAAGTGTAAGAAACAGACGGTGGTCTAGTCTTGCTTCAGCTTGGACACCATGTATCTGATCTGACTTGCTCATTGATAGTGCACACAACGAACTGTGCACAGCTGGTAAAGAGTCTCTCTCGGTAAAGATATTCTATAAAGGGAGACGGGAGTATGTTGTAACGAGGGCGTTTTTAAAGCCTTTTGTAAAAAATAGTGGGTGAAGACATCCGTCCGAGGCTCATACTCGGCCCGACAGAGAATAGTTAAGAAGGTTTCTCAGTCTGAGACACCATCTTACCTTGATATTAATCCTGCCTTTATCTTCCTCATCAGGATCATTCATCACAAGAATGTTCTCAAGTTTCAAGTCCCGGTGCACAATGTCTGTGAGATGGGAGGACAACTTTTAAAAATACATAATGGGTTTGCATGCAGTCATTACATACATGCATGTGACAGTTAGTTGTCATTATCAATATTTATATCAATATTCTCATGAAGCCAATAGACCATCGCACTGAAACCACTGAGATGTATCACACAACCCCAACAAGTTGTCACTGTGTTGATGATTTTATCCATTTAACATCAAAATGATTTGTGGGTGCATCATCAACGACAGCCACAGCTCAGAGGAAAAGAAGCATTGAAGCCTGTGATCAGAGTGCAGCGTGATCTGCTCACGTTATTCACCAGGAAAAGACAACGTGTCCTCAGAGTCAGTCATAGCGGTCGGTTCACCTTTCGAGCAGTACGTCGGGTCGAGCGGCCTCGTTAACAAACCTTGGTGGAGGGAGACGGGCAGGAGGGAAAATACTATTTGCCCTGGGCTGTCTTGTTCACTGCCCTGTTTGAAGCAACCAATTATAAAACGGAACAGTGTTGATGGGGTGGGAAAGGTAAGTTAGACCAACTAGTGTTCACAAAAGAAATACCTGAGAAGGCCTTTTTTCATGGGTGCATTTAAGATATGTTTTGTTCTGTGTTATTCAACTGCTTGCTGACAACATAACACACAATTTCACATTCAGTAATGTCTATTTTATTTGTTTACAATAAGCAATTCTAAAATACTCTAGATCTGCATTTATTTTGCTGTGTTTAATAAAATACTGTTTACCAACTACAATATAATTTTTGGTGTATTAAGATTTCAGTAATCTTCACTGACTGAGCCACTGAAATAAACCATCGGAGTGGCAGTGTAGCTACATGCACATGTAAAATATACCATGTTGTTGTAGAATTAAAGCTCTAATAACAGCCGAGGCAAAGTGAGGCTCAATGTGTAAAACGGCTGACAGCAGAAAACATTTGACAAAATGAAGCTTTGTGAAAGTTCATCTGACACAAAGGTTCCCGCTGCCTCAAAACCAGCTCTTTCTCATTTGCATTGTTAGTTTACATTAAGGAGAGGGAAACCAGCAGAGAGGTACTTTCCAACTAAAACACACCTATTAATCAGTATTGCTCCCTGGCTTGTTGCAAATTGGTCATTAGACGCATGTGGCGATGCCTCATTGCTGAGCAGTGTGCTAAATTACAACAACAGTTTTTGCTCTAAAAAGGTTAATCAGCATGTTAAAATCATTATAATAATGCTCTTATAATAAATAAAAACTATGATCGCAATGTGTTGGGATCCAGCAAAGAAAGGTTTGGTTATTAGCAAGTTCTAATTATTGATATTAATAAAATTATTATTATAAATAATAACGGAGGACCAGTCTGAGATCATAAATAACAAACAAAACTGTGGATCAAGTCTGAAGATTTGCGCACTAATCCACATTCAGAGTGAACAATGAAGGATTGAATCAGACAATAACAACAAGCTATAGTCAAAACATTCAATGGCGGACATCGTGATTACACCACAAAAGGCTCCACAAACAGTGAGACAGAGAGGTGAAGGACGTAGTCACGTAAAGTGGTCGTGTCCTGAGAAACTCAACAACTGCCCTACCGCGATTATTTTACAGGCGAAGAAGACACACAATGAAGGCCACGCTTACTTGCCACGTGTGTGTAAAATAAGCCAAACAGAGAATCTTTGTGTGTGTGTGCGTATGTGTGGGTTAGTTTGAAATTAAGAAGATAACGATAATTAGTGTTGCAGGGGAGAAACAGTGACAGAAACATTTGGAAACAACATTGTTTCAATTGTCGTTGTCGTAGTTGTTAACCTGCAAACAACCCCGTCAGTGACTTCAGGGAGTAGCAAGGGTGAAAAACAGGTGAGTACTTCGTGAAGTGAGTACTACAGGTGAGTACTTCCACGAAGGTCATCAAAAACCTCGATCTTCGTCGTTTTGTATCACTATCATTTCTATCTGTAGGGTGAGACTACCTCTCTTGTGGAGGTAGACGACGGCGTCAGCTAAGCTGCAGATGATGTGTCTGGTCTCGTCTTCTGTAAAGTACTTTTTCCGCTGTAACAGCTGCTTAAGTTCACCTCCATCGCAGAGGTCAATAACCAAATAAGTCATCTAAGAACAAGGAGAGAAAAAGCAAATAGTCCATTTGGGTTATAAATACCATTCATGCACACGCAGTATTAGGTCACAGATATGTCATATCCAAAATGTGTCAAGACGCACATTATAAACATTCCACTCTTTGTTTGTTTAGAGTTTGTTACTTAAAAAGTTTGCTTAGATCACCTGGGCCGTGTGGTACACTTCCTGGAGATGTATTATATGAGCATGGTCCACTTGTTTGAGGATGTTTATTTCATGGCCCAGCATCCTGGCTCTCCTACTTCCTGCCTGAAGTGACAGAATGGGAAATCACAATTGATGGCTTTTCAGTCTGGTTGTGATCATGTTTCTCTCAACATTGAACCTCCCTGTTAGAACAGTTAAAACAGGCTTCCCAGAGAGATGCCAAATGCACTCACCGCTGGTCTGCAAACCTCCTTAATAGCCCATTTTGTCTGTGTCTCAATATGAGTGGCTTCATAAACAACTCCAAAGCTACCTTGACCCAATTTCCTTCCAAATGTATAGATGTCCTATGGGAATAAGGAAGAGAATATGAATGCATTTGTAAAACACACCTGCTGACTGTAACACAGCACAGGATGAGCCCTGTGTTTCAGAATTTGGGATCATGCCCCTGTTTTGGAGACCTAAATTCCAAAGAGCATCCCAATTTTAAGCTCTCTGAAAAAAACAGAACATTTCAGATCTCTGGTGGTGCAGAATATAGTAGTTCTAATCAAGTTACAAATGATTAAGTGCCTGCTGCAGTTTGTTCAATCTCAGGTCTAATTAACTTGATCATTATCTGTGTGCATGCAAGGCTGAGCACTGGCTGCTTTAGCATTTGGCGATGGGAGAAGTCAAATTCCCCAATGAAGAGTGGCTATATAGCAGCAAATTGAAGTTTCATCCTCTTCTGTTGCAGATAAGAGTCTATCATAAAGGTCAACAGCAGGTCTGTGTGTCTGTTTCAGCGGTGGCCCTATAGCAAAAATACAGAATCATGTAAAGAAGCTCACCGTACCCTGAGGTCAGCATCATTCTCCAGGCGTATCAAAGGCACATTCCTCTCCAGCGCGTCCCTGCTGGTCGGCGTGGACACCATGTTAATGCCTAATCCACTAACAAAGACGCGTGTCACCTAGAGATGGAAGAAGAGGGCCGTCATTATCCCTTTGAGATTTCCTCTCGGGCCACCGGATGACAGGTTGTCCATAGACATTTAGAGTGAATGGAGATATTTGTTACAAAGAATAACTGCGTCGCCAGTAACCAATAGCTATTCCTAGAACATAATAAATGTGCACGAATGCGATTGTTAAAGAACAAAACACATTTTACCATCATTTTACTTGAATTATTGATTAACAGCAGTGTTTGCAATTTGTCAGTATAATCTCAAAATGTATTACTGATTAAAAGTGTTGAGTTACATTTACAACAAACTTTTATTTAAAAGCCTTTTCTAGCATTGAAGACACATTTTGTATCAAAGAAACTCCACAAGTTTGCAAAATACCCGAGTCCATTGTCTCATTCTTTTAAATGAGTGGTTTATGACCAAACTTCTGTCTCAGTCCAGGCACATATTAACCTTAATCCCAATTCACCCAGTCTCTAAAGCCAAATTAAATGTAAAGCAATTATCAAGGGATGCCCGGGAGCTATGAAGTGGATCCACCACATGAACAGCAATTAATTATTAACAAGGAAGCAGTGTCTTTAACCTCTTCACTGATGCATTATTTTAGCCCTGTCAGGGCTCTCATAACAGGCCTGTCTCTCCCATTACCTCATGTCTATTTTCCAATCAAAACGATTGTGACAGCCTCTGGAAATTCCAATCACCTCAATCTCCGCTCATTTGTGGAAGACAGAGGCCTGTGATGAGTGTATCACCGGAGACTTGAAGGGACTTGAGGACCTCACATCTGGTCCTTAGCCCCAGTTCCAAGGTGCAAAGGAAAGCAGTACAAACAGGAAATGTAAAAACATCCTTGAAAGACCACGTGTAGACGGCTTATTTCCCTTTTGTTCACTTAACTAAGTGACAATATTCTGTGCATGGATCTTTTTTCCCCACCTCTTCCTAGACAGAGGATTAGCCCGGGAACGAAAACATAATTATTAACTGTGTCCAGCAATGATTAAATGACGGTAGACAGCCCAACTTAACGATGTCAAAACATAATAGTCTTTGTTATCACAGACACACTGAAAGATAAGTAAACATCAGGGCCCAACCATAAGGAAACGGAGGCTCCATCCTTTACATTGAGCTTGCCTCATCTCCAGTTTCCACAGGAAGTAATTAGAAGCGCCGGTTCATCACAAGTCGAGCCCATGCTTGCCTCATCCCTCCATCATTCTGTCACACAATCATTTGTGTGTATTTACCCTACTGAGTGCTGAGTAGAGCAAATATACGTGGTGCCTAATGACTGAAGAAGTGGGGAATACTGTCTAAGAACTTTGCGTATAAAATCAATGTCACTTTGGAGCAAAGAGAGCTTGGATACAATGCATGTGTGCCTTCCCTTAAACCGGCTCGTCTTTTGTTAGCTCAACGTGTGGTGATCTTCTCATCGGGCAATATAAGACTTTTGAACAGAACCAACCCAATCCTGTCAACATTCTACAGCAATGCAGTAATAGTGCTGCTAATCAACCGGTTTTAAGGGTGAGCTTAAGGAGATGTGGATAGAACCACATGAAGGATGCTGATGATGCCGAAAATATTTGTTGATTCATCAATCGGCATAAAATAAATCAATGATTTTCTGCCCTGTAGGTCAAAACCTCTTTTCATAAACAGCTTCTCCCATTTGCAATAAGGTTTCTGAGCTCGGTCTCCGAACTGGGAAATGGTGCTCTGTCTCTTTGTGGCATGTGCGTAAATATCCACCTTTTTTTTTAAATTCCAGTATCATTGCAATCATCACTTATTGTTGTCTATGTGCTATGCTTCATGTGTTCACTATGTCTAGTCACCACTTTGTACTAGAGACAATTTCCACTGACACGCTTCATGTGGCCATTTAAGTCAAGTGTCTGTAAATGAATTGTTCCTGGTCATTTATCGGGAAGAATATTTTTTCAAATGTGAATGTTTTCCAAGTTTTTACCACTTCAAATCAGTGGACTGTTGTTCTTGCAAAAAAAAGGGTATTAGTCTGTGGAAAACGATACTAAATGGTTAATCGTTTAATCATAAAAAGACTCAATGCAAATATCACTAATGAAAATGATCATTATTTACAGCCCTAATTCAATTGATGTGTGATTTGCCAGCAGAATAACTGCAGCATATCAAACGTCAGCAGTGGTGTGTCCCACAATTAAATGGCAAATAGTATGCCGCTGAAACCACATTGTCAAAACCAGACCATCAAGATAATGCAAATTTAAATTATTATACAGCGCTTTGATTTCTTTAATGAAATAAATAGCAGAATAAATTAGGCTTAAGCAGCTTCTAATGACGGGGCCTCGGGCTGTAAAAAGCAGCCTCTAAAATATAGCCTCCAAATCAAACACAAACAGAATCTAGCTTACTTCAATTAAAATGTACACTCCTATTCGTTTTGCTTGAGCCCGAATATTACATTTTCCCCATGTGAAACTTAATCATTTATTGACAGCTTGGCTTTGATGACAAATGATAAACTTCACAGTCCTAATGAAGCGTGGAATTACATTACCTGATGAGGCAAGAAATTGCATGTTTAGAATGCAAATATAGAGCCCATCTACTTCGCTAACTTACTTGGTGACTCATAATATTATGCAGAGAGATTATCAAGGCTTGTGGTCTGAGTGTAATATATCAAGAACCTTCCAACCTTAAGCCATTAAAAGCATTAAACACTTACTAAAGAGCTGTGAACACAGTATAATAGCCCTGTAGTCCGTCAGCTATCTAACAACAACAAAAAAAGAGGTTCTTTAAAAATCTATTCCTACATTCAGCAAACAAGTAATGCATGTTGCTGCTCCGAGAATTCCCTCTGTCTCCAATGGTCATATTCGATAAGTCCATTGGAAATAAAACATGCTTTGCCAAAAGGAAGTAAAAGATCAAATTCTGCCATTTGCTCAGAGCACTCCACATGTTGCTAGAAGATAAGGGCCGACACATTCAAATTCTCTCATTGGTTTAATCCCGGTTAAAGCTAATCTCTGCCCTTGCTGGGCTCAGCCTTGGGAAGCCATGAGGGCGGACATCAAGAAAAATGTGGGCCTTGGCAAAAAAAAAAAACAAGAACAAATCAAATTCATTTCAATGACAACCCGGAGAGAACTGAGCACATTTATATCTGAATACACAGACGTGTGACGCTACACCTTCGGGTATAATTCAGTAATTGTCCAACACGCAAGCGGATAACGTTGACGCGCTTTGCTAAAAATGTGTTTTTAAACAGTTAGCCCAGGACAACACAACCAAATAATAATGGGGCTTTAACTGACCCAATAAATCTAACTTACTATTCAAATCGAGGAGGTTATGAACATAATGAATGAACATAATCAGCATTGACTGCTCCTGCTACTCTGGCAGTTTTCAAATGTCTAAAGAATGTAAAAGCTCTGTTGTTATTAGCTTTTTATAAACGCTTATAAGTACGAAAAGGTGCATTAATTACTTCACTGGAGATCTAAGTAGCATTTATGCAGCAGTTGTGAGACAGATAACTATCATCATCTCAGTTGACACCAAGCACTTAAAAACTGAGCTGGTAAGAAGTGAGGTTGCTCCTTTTTAGTACTTAAAGCTAATCTGGTTATTTTATGTTAACATTTAACATTTGTAAATCGGTGTTCTATGAACACGTGGAGATATCTTTGCAATTAACGTTGATTAGCTTAAAGTTGACGGGAACAACGCCAAGCTAACGTAACGTTAAGTTAACATTAACATTAAGCTAACCGACGTGAGAGATGAGGCTGGCCTTTTAACCGTATATTATTTTACATTAACGCGGTAGAGGCTATTTCTCGTTGACCATCTTGTAACTGTGAAACAAAATGCTTTAAGGATACTCTTTTTAAAACGTAACGTCAATAAGTGTAGGAAAGACTGGGTGGTCAACTGTTAGCAACGCTAAAGTAGCATTACCCCAATGCAAACGTTGTCATGGCAACGAAACATGACGTTGCAGAAGCCGACCGGCCGAAACGTCTTATAATAATACGTATGGGAGTCCCATTTGTCTCGGTTAGTAACACGGTGAAGGCTCAGGTGAGAAGGTTGAACGACCGCTTCTTACCTCTTGAAGTAGATCATGTTCTTTTAGAGGATCGGTCTTCAACATACAAACTTTTTCAGTGGGTGACTATGGAGAGCGAAGAGGGACAAATCTCGAACGATGAATGAACTTCGGGGGGGTTGCAGCGCCCCTTGTGGCTCGTGTGTGTCTGACGACGTATAAAAGCCCGGACATTGAAAAGGAAGCACTTGACCACCTCTGGACTTTCACCCAATTTATAACGTGAGCACTGACCGTTAGTACTTTCTCTATTTTTCGCGAATGGAGAACTGGTTTTCTCTGTGGTAGCCTGGATTTTGGTTGGTCCGTAGTCTCCATCTAGTGGACACTCCTGCAGTGGTTTATCTGAGTTTTAAAATTCAGTTTTAAAATTCAGTGTGGAACAATTCAACCACAGTTTTGAATCGGATGAAAGTAAGAAAGTGTATAGTCACCATGTGAGACAACTTTAAGTGAGTCTTGACATTAGCCTGTGCACACTTTGCTACAGCACCGTCACCACCCAATATGTCCATAATTAGGACACAAAAGTTTACTTGCTCCATATTTGAAATCATGTTCTAAAAATATTTTTTCTGCACTGCCACGGAAATATAGAATCACATTTTTCCGACCGACGGCTCCGTTTATACCCACAAATGATTTTTTTTCCTGAAGAATTCCTTCTCCAAACACAAAACGGCAGCTACATTTTTTAATTGCAGCTTTAATGTTCTTTATTAACCTATTGAAAAAAGTTACCAGCTCTATTTAGGTTACAGGTTGCTGTTTGCATGAACTTTAAAGAGATTAGTGGAAGGTAGGCTCTTTAAATCATAACAAGAAATCTTATTTGGGCTGCCTGAATTGTAATCTTTGCATGACATTTAACTGCACCCTAGGAAATTATATTTGAATTAGGTCTACAAAAAAGAAACTGTACCATAATGACAAAAAAAATGCTGACTACAACAGAGATATTTTAGATGCTATGACAACATTGACCTACTTTATAACTTTTGACCACCACCTACAGTTAATACCGTTTGATTCATCTTTTTTTTACTTCTCACACACTGCCCCTTCCTGTACTGTATGTATGTATGTATGTATACATTTTAGAAAAACTTGTATTTTGACATGCAAATGTATAAAATGTTTGTTGTGCAAAAGAAAATGTCAAATGACAAAATGTATAATTACAGACATTATGACCACTAATTTCCAGCAAAAGACAGACTTCCGCTTTTTACCAGCGGGTTTATTGATGAGTTTGTCTATGCGGCCTGCAGGGTGCTCAAGGTTCTCCATAACATGACAGATCAGTTTTGTGAAGAAGCTCGATTTCAAAGTAGCTCCCCTCTCCAAACACGAACCAAGTCACCAGTCTGCCATAGACGATTAAAGCTGAATTATACAACTTGTGAACCAGGTGGTGAAGCGGCCCCGAGGCAGAATCAGTTATATATTATATTGTTATAATGGTGATGCCCTAGAACCAACTGAACAAAACAACAGCATTATTTATTAGAACTATATGTTGTGTCCAGAACATTTTTAGTAGTATCAAGATGCTTTTGTAATCTACAAATATATCTCTATATATGTTTTTTCATGTTGATACTTTAATGTGGGCCCCACATGATATGACAGATATTATAATCCAAAATCTAAATGTCCTCAACTTAGTGTGGTTTGGTTCATATTGAATCGATTAGTCTACAAAGCCTGTTTCTTTTCTACGGGGGAACTTTTCTACAGCGTTTGGAATGCAGTGCTTAACTCCAACTTACAGCAGGAAGCTGTGGAAAAACATGGTAAACTATTTGCTAAAAAGACAATAACCGCAATTCATGACCTAAATTCGTATCTGTTGTTATGACCAAAACAAGATAAAAATATATCAATGGACATCCTTTATGAAATTAATCCAAAAAGAAACATGTAAAAATATGTTTGCTATAAAAAACTTGGGTTTGCTGATAATCAAGCCCTAACCAATGAGCATTAACTTGGTGAATGCAGATGCACAAAGCTTTCTAATGAGCAGCAATGAACAACGCATGGTGCCAGTTTAATCAAACTATGGGACAATGATTACTTTAATCACCGTGGTGCATGATTGCTCGTAAGGAAAAAACAAACCAATTAATTTAGTGCAGAAGAAAAGAGGTTTCAAATTCAAAACCGCTCTGCAAAGTGTAATTCTATCACAATCATCAAGACTGTAAAATAAACACTTAATGATAGTAAAATGTGCACTGATTTCTAACACATGTGACACGGACGGGTTTTGTTGACTCACTTTAGATCAAAAAACACATTTTATCATTAAAACATGGACTGAATGACTGATGTATTTTTCTTTAAATTTCATAAATGTTAGACCTGTTTTTGATAGTTAATTAGCTCTGAAGTGAAACTGTTGCATTGTAGTCTAACTAAAAAGTGAACAATAAAATAAATTAAGTTCAAAATCACTTCTTTCCATGGAAAACGGAATTGGTTATTTAGGTCATTAAGATATATTTCCATTTATCCTCACAAGTGTGGTCATCGAGAGCTATATTCCTCTACAAATATCCTACTGCTGTCAGCATCTGTCTTGGATAAACAAAAAACAAGGAACTCAAAAGTCGAGTTTAAATGAAAGATAAACAAAATGAACACAAACTTATCACACTTTCATAAACCTATAGTTTACCCTCTATCTATAGTGTATAACAGAAAAAGGCCTGTGCTCACCTTGAATCCCCAGCAGAGACGACTTGACATCATTCATGACGGTGAAAGTTAAAATGTGCAGTTTAAAGCTCTTCTCTCTCTTCTGCACACTGAACAGAGTGCACGGACGAGCATTTGGAAGAGCTGCTTCACTCTCGCGTGTCCCCCTGGGAGAACTAAAAACATGCAGGGTCTCTGAACCTTCTCAGCCAACACAACGTGTTTTGCAAGTGGGGTGCAAAAAGGTCGACCAATCCACAGATGGTTCGGAGAGGTTTGAGGACATAGGCGTGTCTTCTTCTGTGTCTCCACTGCCTCACTAGACGTTTCACAGTGTGAAAAGAGGAAAAAAGTCTAAATTGAGTCTGGTTTTCTGTGAAATAACAAAAAATTACACTTTAGCATCCATTCCAATGTTTTTATTGGAATGGATTCTGTCAGGTTGAAATGCATTTTTAAAAAATGTTCTGGAGCCATAATTTATCATAATGAACTAACTGATATGAAAATACCACTCAAACTATAAATGGCTGCAGTTCATATCGCATACTGTAGATAAACGCCTACAGTGGATTGTGGGGCTGTAAACAATTTCCATTGGTTTCCTGGAACTTGTGAGGAATGAAAATGTTAAATGTAAGACACTAGGACATTTTTTTCTGTTGAATTAATTTTATTGATAATAATAAATGTGCATTTATCATTGACTGTTACAGTAAAAATAAAGTAATTAACCAAACTGTTCTCCTGAAAGAGTGACAGCAACTTAAGTTCATCTTCCCTTGTACAATAGGAAATATTACTCATTTAAACGGAAGCAACATATCATATAATGTATATTAACTACTTTTGATAATGACCCAGGTGTGCACAGACTTTCTTTGCTCTTATTTAAAGTAAAATCTATCTTAAGCATCAGGAAATTATTAAATATGGTTAATGTGGTTAGAAGAGCTGTGTCCTTGAATATTTTACAGAAAATACTCTTCAATCATTAAATGTAATTTTCTCTTAACAATGTGGCTCTACAGATACTCATCCAAACTGAAGGATATCAATACCTAACACTCTTATTAAGATTGAGATATAGATGTAGTATAAATGGAGGAAAAAGCTTACATCATGTATACACAAACATAATTCATGGTTAAATGTCAAATTAACATTTTTGTTTGTTTAATTTGGATAAATACACCTGACCTTTGGACCTCTAACACTCGGACAAGTGCTCCCGATCACTTTCATTCTGTGTCCCCGTGGTCAAAAAGACAAAGTCAAAGGCTTCACTGAGACACATTAATATCAATAATCAAACGTGATAATTGCCTGCAATCATTTAGTAATTAAAATGTGACATATAGTAAAATAAAGTTCTATTAAGTTACACATTTATAATAAATGCCTTGAGAGCTTACAAATATGCTAAATACAGTGCTGTGTATAATCAGAACTATGTTAACCTAAAAAAGATGCTACGTGAGATTAATAAACATACAATAGAGAATCACCTTTGTGCAATACAGAATACAACATTGGGTATGTGATTTTAGGAGGTCTAAATGTAAATAATATATGCCCGAATATAATTTCAGTGGCAACATATGAAATAATAAAGTAACAATTACAGCCATGTCTTACTATTACATGATATTTTAAAGCTGCACCCTCAAGCTCTGTTTGAGTTGTTTTTCTCCAATGAGATGTGTTTGCAAATGTGTAGAATATAATATGAAACAAAACATAGTTTGATCTTGAACTTCTACTTCTTTTATCAGTTGAAATAATAATTTCTCCAGCGTTCGTTAGTGCTTCAAATATCTGAAGTGCGTTTCAGTATGTTCAGCTGCCATCAGATGGCAGCACTGTGATATTGTTGCAAACCACTAAATGCGCACTATGATGCTAAATAAAAACAGCACAGTTACTCCGAAAAAACGCATTTTAGTCCATTGTTCCACTCCGTGGCTAGAAGAGCTGTCTCCTTGACTTGAGAGAGGGTCTCCTCTTCCTCTTCCTGAGGCACTGCTCTCTCCTCTCTGGCCAGGGGAAACCGCTCTCAGCGGCCCTGTAGGCCTCGTCGTACTCGTCGCTGTCAGAGTCCGCCTGTGCTGCAGGGAAAACTCTGTCGGGGAAAACCTCTTTCAGGTTCGAGATGAAGAACATCTCGAGATTGCGGCCCGCTTGAGCCACCTCGGAGTCAGGCTGCATTCAGAGACGGAAAGAGACAATGAGATCGGTGCCGGTGAAGCACTGACAGGTGATTTTCATATGCATTATTTAAACGAGGATTCATTGTGATTAGACTAACTGTATATTGAGTGCACACGTTTTTAACTTACATAGTTAAACTTTGCGCAGTTGCGAAACATGAGATAGACATCAGCAACAAACTCCTCTGTCGAGATATAGTGTTGAGTATTCCTCTTGTTGAGTTTGGCTCTGATCACGGACAGATCCATAGGCCTCTTAATGATCTGGTAGTAATGACGAGCCTGCATGAAAAAACAGAAACCTTTAACATCGGTTTGGACAAAATCCACCCAGACACTAAAGTTTCTTTCAATATTAAAACTGCAATCACCATCATATGACTTTCCAGCACTGAAATAAATGTTACATTTATTTTTTATTTTAATATTTTTTATTTTATTTAATAAATTGAATCTATATTAAGAGGTAGATAATCAACCACTAGCAATGCTATTTTGTATTTTTTAAATAATATTATGTATGTTGATACAACAAAAGAAAAATCTTCACGTTGCTACAGTGTTCCTGTAATTGTAATGAAATATATGATGGAAATAAGTTGGCATTTTCTGTAAATGGCCTATAAAAGTAAAAGGATGATCACTCACAAGTGGACTGACGGGCTCATGGAAGGGAGCACTCAGGACGTTACTTAGGATCAGTAGAGTCAGCCGCTCACATTTCTACAAAGAAGAAAGAAAATTGTTACGAATGCCGGAAGGGAACAAAGTTGCAGGAAACCACCAGCCATCATTATTATGAATGCAGGTGTTTAAACGGCCTACTCTCTGGTCACAGACAGGCAGTCCATGTGCCGGTGTGTGTCCTCCAGATGTTCTCTTATTCTCGCAGTCATACTCAACCTCTGGCTGCATCACGTCCCGGCACAGGCTGCACAGCCAGTCGCCTCTGAGAAATACAATGAAACAGTTTGAAAGGAAGTTTCAGAGTAAAGAATCAAACGCACTGGAAGCATTTCAGTAGAAGAAGCTTACGAGGGGAAGCTTAGAAGGGACGGGATGTGGCAAGACAAATGAAAGACTTTTGGACAGCGGTCACAGCACAGCAGGTCCCCTCCGATGAGACACACGGCACAGAAGTCCTCACTCTCCATCTCTGGACAGTCCTGGTCAGCCTCGGCGAAACTTTGAGCGACGGGGTTCGAATGCAGAAGCGGCCCCCAGGCGGCACCACCGGGCGACTCCTCCTCCAGGTCGGAGCGAAGTGGTTGCGGGTCGTCGGTGGGGAGTTCGGGTTCAGATTCCAGGTCGAGCTCGGACTCGAGAGCGCCCTGAGAGTCCGGAGGCTGTTCGGATAGAACGTCGGAGTCGGTCTCTGCCTGAAAGCTGCGATCATTGTCAGGCTTGACAGATTCGGAATAATCCTCCAGCCCTTGACCATCCTCCGATCCCCCTGCTGCGTCCGATTCTGGCTCCGCCTCATATTCAAGACTTGGCTCTGAATCCCCCGTGATGTCAGTTTCAACGCAGAGCCGCATCGGTCCTGCAGCCAGTGATTCGTCCACAGCCCAACCTTCACGATCAGACTCAGATGAAGACTCTGCATTTCGGGGGGAATCTGGCGATGCATCCGAGTACAGCTGCGGGTCTGGATCGGCCTGAGAAACAACGGCGTCCTCTGAGGCTGATCCGGGATCTGTATCTGAGTCCAGATCCAGTGCAGGGTAACTGTGTGGTACATATACAGGGTCAGCGGACGGGGGCGCTGGTGTTTTACAGGAGCCGATTGTCTCCCGGCTGTCAATCTCTCTGGTGGTCGAGGGTGTGGAAGACGGATTCTGTCGCTGTGCACATGGCGGCGCTGTGAGTGAGCGGGTGGGGCTTGTGATGTCACAGGCTGCAGCTGTGCCCTGCGTTTACAACAGAGGGGAGAAGAGAAGGGAACACAAGCTGTTACGCTGATTTGCTTTGTACGTAGAAGAGAGTAAGGGAAGCATCGACGTTCGACATTCAAGGATCACTTTTTCCTCTACTGTATGCAAAGAAATGTGACGTACCTCAGGCCTTGCGTCACGCCCGGCCCTCTGCTGAGGCGGGGCTTCGCTCTTCTCCGTCCCGCTGGCCGGTAGAGGGTCGCTCTGCCGTCGCCCATGTGGGGGAAGTTGAGACACAAGTATTTTGAGACGCTCTAAGCAAACCACTGGAACCCTCGGCCTCCCTGAGTCCTTCTGAACATCTCGGTTACTTTAGAGGCAAGTAGAGAAAGAGTGATGAAACCTGTTCTCTTTGATTTGCCCGTAGGACAGATCTTTGCATGGGGAGCTACTACACACCTGCTGTGGCTGTTTCTCGTCACCCTGTATTTCCCCTCATAATCAAGGTCTTCATTTACACAATTAAAAGAATGATCTGAAGAGAAAAATGATGAGCATATATTCACAAGCTTAGCAAATCGCTTATATGAGATTATGAGAAAGAATCACGTAAGAAAGCTACGCCAGTAGTATTTTCTAGCACCTGGCTCTTTCTTATAGGACAGTAGAGGAGACCGGTGACCTCTGGAGGGCACCGTTTCAGACGAAGTTTCCTTGACAACACAAAGCACCCCATCTGAGGCTCTCCTCTGTTTGGATTCCACACTGACATACTGAGAGCAAAACAAACATTGTGTAACAAGTATTAGTAAATGTAAAGTTATATGGTCACGACTCCAGAGAAAACCTGTCGGCTATTTTCTGGTATTTTACTGACAAAACAATTTAACATACAATCAAGAAGATAATAGGCTGATTAATCAATTGTGAGGATGATAATTTCTCGGTACCCTTAATCAGAGTAATGTTCATATTCATTTTTCTCGACTGTGTTTGACGTAGGCTATTGCTTTGCAAAACCCCAAATGACGTGTACAAAAGGGTCACCTCAACTCTTTCTGACAGCTGAGGTGCACTTTGATTATGTTCTGATGCAGGGTTACCTTAGTTTCAGCCACTGCCCGGGGGCTTTGAGCGCATCCTGGGGGCCTCTCACTATAAGGGCTGGTGGAAGGGGCTGCCAGTTCTGGCGGGATGCTCTGGGAGCGTCTGTCCCTCCCCCTGCACACTAAAGCAGGGCCGAGCCTGCTGCTCTGCACGTCGGATACACACTCGTGGGCTGTCTCCGACACCTCCAGGGACGTGGATCTCTGTCAGAAACACAAACATGCAAAACTGAGCAGATTTTCAAGCTCCATCACATGCACAGATGCCCACGTTCATGCCATCAACAACAGACAGGAGAGAAAAGGTGTGGGATGTGTGCAGTGGAAACCAGCTCGAGTGTGACACAAACTCAACTCAATCCATACAAAAGGCGACAAAAGGGTCTGGTTACAATGCTAACACTTGTGTTCAGGGGGGCAGTTTGACAAACTAGATTTGATTAAACTGGAATAGCAAATAATTTGCTAACTAATAGTCTTTCTTTCTCTCTTCTATTACACTTTAACTAATGCGAGTGCCTCAAAAAGCTCCTTTAAACACGTCAGCTTATGGAAGCAGGAGGGCTGACAAATCATTTAGGTTCTTTTTTAACATATCTCACATTCCTCCTTTTTTTTCTTTTTCTAGATTATTGTCATACAAATTCAGGCTAAATCCACAGCCAGCATGTACTCCTAAGTATCATGCGATTAAAACACTTACCTGATCCTCGCCACTTGGGAAGCGTATGCAGGATTTAGAATGTGGAGGGGAAAAGACTAAAAAAGATAATCCTTCTTTCTGGAACGATGGAGGAATTTATCTTTGAGAGCAAACTAGAGCAGAAATTAAACTGGCAGCTCCCTCTGTTGCCTTAGTAACGTATTAATGACATTTTAAGTACATAAATGACGCCCAAGTCGTTTTAGGTGATTTTACTGGTAATAAAAATAATTCATCTTGTGTTTGTACATATGCACCCTGACTTTTTGGCGAGGTGATTATGTGTCTGCCCGAACCTTTAAGTGTGGCTTTAAGTGTGATTATGACCAATGGCGCTCTCCTGATTTTGGGATGCATTGCTAAAAACAGCTCTGCTGTAATTGTCAGACCAGCTCTTTGTTTTCTCAGCGTCCTTTCTTCATAAAAGCAGAAGCACATTTCTGTTGCACCATCTGTCAGGTTTGCTGTCAACTGTGGGAAGCAATCATTCTGGCATTAAAATAAAGCTGTCCTTTAAGTAATTTACAGATAATTAAAACAGAGTACAGCACTCACAGAACATTTCAGGTGTTTACAATAACAACTTTCCATATGTTAAACATTTTCCCACTGGCTTTCGATGTGACTTAAATGTCACTATATGATGCGTTTCTTTTTAATTAGTCTTTTAAAAAAAAATTTGTCTTTGTCTTTTGTCTTTTCATCTGAGCAAGTGTTTGAACGTTGAACAGAAAATAGCCCTGACTCTGACTCATACATTGTGGGTTTTAAGAGGTGCATATAAATAGGTGATGTGGTTTTGTTTGAGGCCATAGAAACATGGCAAAACCAAAGAATGAGGTGCACAAAATCCAACCATCTGCCTTGCTATTATCTTACAGTAGCCTATATTGATCACAAAATATATAATATACAAAAAAAAGTTATTTGGGTTATTTAGTAGGGTTATTTGGTAACTTAATTACTCACTCTGCCATCTCTGTGGTCTCTGAGCGTCACTGCAGGACTGTTTCTCTGCAGCTCACGTCTCAGCTCTGCTGCTGGAGCGACACGGAGCTGCTGCTGCTCCTGCTGGACAGAACTCTGCTCCCTTCTGTCCCGCTGCAGCTCCCCGTCCGCCAGCGCTCTGCTCTCAACCACTGCCGCTTGTCCTGGCGCTTCCTCCACTCTGCACTTCTCCTCCCAGTTCTCGTCGTTCATCGCATCTCTGTCCGCGGCTGCGTGGCCGACTTGCTGCTGCAGCGGCGCGTTGGTCGACAGCGTCCTCTGACGTCGGCCCGGCATGCGGTGCTCTGCACCTGGCTGAGCCCGGCTGTCTGATAGAACGTCTCTCTGATGTGGCCGTTGGAGATACGGCTCAGTTTGAGGCTGGGTCTGAGAGGCAGCAGCTTGTGGCCGGGATGGAGATCTTCGACTGCAGCTGAGCTGAATGGGTCCCGTCACCGAGACGGGTGAGGACGGCGGAGGACATTGCAAGGAGTTGTCTGGGTCCCAGCACCGCTGGAGCTGCTGGTTCTGGTGCAAAGAGGCAGAGAAAAGGGCCGGCCGAACACAGCTGGAGTTATGCAGGACGGCTTCAAGCTGGCCTTTGTCCGGACGGGACGGGTCCGGCGCGGAGGGAATGCCATGGACACAACACAGTTGGGGCTCGCAGCAGTTCTGGTACCCACAGCCCAGCTCTCGTCCTCTGTGACACACGGACGGAAGAGCCAAGCGGTTGATTGGCTGAGGCCTGAGAATACTGGAGCAGGGGAGGCCGCGGGGGTAAATGCTGTCTCCCCCTTCAACATTCAGCTGGCCTGCAGAGATTGCATGTAACATTAAGAGCTTTGTCCAACGTGATGCAATAGGTTGAGCAAATGTTAACAACTGTAATACAACCACTGTAATAATACCATGTGGCTTCAAAAACATTTTTTTTACCTAAAGAGGAAATCTGCTTCGTCCAGTAACTTGCATCCCAATTGAATTTGATCCTGACAGGACTCCAAGAGTCTGAGTGGAGTGACGACTCAAGCAGCTGCTGCATCTGGAGAGACATCTGGAGAATATATATTCTGTTATAGAAAAAACAGGTTGCATGTTGTAAAATTAGCAAAACTGTAAAGCTGTGCTCAAAAGACACCTAATGCTAAAGAAAAGCGACTGGAATTCAAACGCAGAGACCAGCATGCAATAAAAATAAATATCCCACACTGGGCTTTAGAGAACTACACTTACATCCTTCACCGTATAAAAGGTGAAGTTCCCTTTTTGAATACAAAAGAATAATGAATTACCGCTTCCCCAAAGGGCAGCGTATGTTACAATGAGACAGTGGACGTCTGCCCTGACGACGTACCAGAGCTCTGCTGAAGAGCACCGGGCCTCTGCAGTGGTGGGTCGTAGCCCAGGTGATGAACTTCTGGACGTGGTCCAGCTGGCCACATATCTCTATTGCCCCCTGCAGATGGTCCTCCAGACGATGCTGAAAGTCCTCTGAGATTTTCTAAGAAGATAGAAGAAGAAAAAGAAGAAGATACGTTATTATGACGCATATTTTGTGTCAGATATAGTTCTTGAGATGTTTGCTTAAGCATTTTTGATAGATTATTAAGGGTCCTCATTTGGTTGCTTTCAGGACTGATTACATCGCGGCGGTTACTGATTCTTTGCGTGTAGATTCAAAGCTGGCTGAACGATAAGAAGGAACGAAAAAGAAAGCAATTACCTCCAGTTGCTCTATTAATAGGTTGGCTCGTTTGTTAAGCTCGTTCATCATAATCATCTTTGCCATTTTAATCTGGTTCTCTGCTTTCCTGTGTGCAATCTTTACTCCATGAAGTCTTCAAAGACAGAAAGGGGAAAATAAATGTGAGAGAAAAAATCCCAAATTCAGAAGAACAGTGCAGACTTTCAGACATTAATTTATGCATTAGCTTGCTATATTTCACACTGGTAAATTATTGAGCATTTGTAGCAGAAGTTGCTCAGACTATGATGACTTTTTCACCAACCTTTCCTCTAGCTGCTTAGCATTGTTCTCCACTGCCGATCTCCTCTCATCCACCTGAACCATCAGGCTCTCAAACAGCCACTGCTGATCCTGTAGAGCATTCCCAATCTGCACCACCCTAAACAAACCATGGTGATCACAACATCCACCGCACTCATTTAATCTCTGGGCATGAAGAACACCACAATTAAAATGATTTCCCCTCAGGGCAAGACATTATGCAGGTGACCTTAGAGGCAGCTCGGAGGTGCTGGTCTCGTTACTGTACCGTAACACCACAGAAAAACAAAAGCATCTGAATACTTAATAGGTAAGTTGTGTGCAGGCGCGGGTGATAAAAGTGACAAGGCAGTTCAGGAGAGTTGTTTCTCAGAGGAAGTTTTTGACCTGCCGTTAGCCCTTTTCTGCAGTGTCCTTGTGTTTTTTTTATCTAAGGGACTGACCTGTGGTTTTTGTGGGAGGACAGGTGACAGCTGCTACAGCACAGAAGGTCACATGACTCACAAAACAGCTCCAAGGGCTCCTGTCTATGAGCGTGGCACATCAGGAGGGAACAAGGATACGACCCCGGACCTAAAAGACAGAGGGAGGGAGGCAGGAGGACAATTAGCATTTCACACTAACAGCTAGAGGAGAACCATCAGTGTGTACACAGAATGAAAAGAACAACACTAACTTCTTATAGCTTAAAAACGTAATCATTTATTAGAGGAACTAAATTAAACTGCATAGGGTTAGGGAATGTGTGTTTTGGTTATCCGGTAAAATGTATCATCTCATGTGGCAACTTGAACTTGCCACGTTTAAAATGTTGTGTTGTTTGAGTGATCAAAGTAGGAAAAACGGATGTCTAATATTGTGAAGGACACATCTTGATTTGGTTTAAGTACAACGACGTGGGTTTTGGTTAATTGGTGAGTATGGAGTGAGGTAAATAGTGTTACATTCAGATAAAGCTGAGGCGTCGCTGAATAGAGGCTGGCTGTTTCCCCATGCTTCCTGTCATTACGCTAAGCTAAGCTAAGCTGGCCTTAGCTTCTTCATGAGAGCGGTATAATATTTATCATCTAACGCTCAGCTACAAAGAAAATGTAGTCATATATTCCAAAATGCCTTGTGTATAAAGTATTTCTCATATTTATTTATTTTAAATATATTTTCAACATGCCTGTCTTTTGAAAAGTGACTATAATGAGCTACAGAAGAAAGCCTTATTGTTCGATACACTTTGCATTCATGTAACTTTTTATAGGCATAAGAAGTGAATGAAACTGTTACTTTGTGCTACATAGTTAAAAGTAAACTCTGGTTAGCTACATTGGATGAAAATGCTAAAACAGTTGCGGGAAGTAGGTTGCTGGTTGAGTGTTGAGCTGTAAGTGAACAATATTTCTCACAGTTGTCCAATCTTCCTTTGATGAAACAACCACGCACACATACTAAAGCACACTCTATCTCTCACACATTTCTAAATAGGTCACCGTAGAAACTGCCGGCCCACAGAGCATCTATCTAACTATAGCTGGATACGGCTAAAGAAAGCAGCCTTACTGCTCTCTGCTGGCCGGCTCACCTCAGTCAACCCCCCCCCACCCTCCCCCTCCCCACCCCACCCACCCCTCTGCCTGCAGATCCTCACAACTCTCAGTGGTTAAGAGCAGAGCATCATCCTGTGTGCGTCGACCTGATCTGACTGACCACATCCTGTCTGTCAGAACAGTCACACGCCTTTTTCTAGCAAGTACACCAACAAAAACATTAACACGGCCACATCACAATAATGGTCTCCGGGACGTCTTCTTTACTATTTGACAACTTGTGTGATGCAGAACTGCACGAGCAGCTGGCAACAAAGCTGCCAGGCCCACTTGAGGGTCTTAAAATAGAAATACACTAATATTAGCGAAAAGGAAAAGGATGCGAGCAACATGGAATCTGGGCCACGTGTTAAAGAGAGGTGTAATAAAACCCAAGGATCTCCAGCAACTATTATCAGCCATCATCGCGGACATGCATTATTCATAGCAATGGTGCATGGAGGGACGTGATTAACAAACAAACAGAGAACCAGAGGGAAAACCAATAAGACAGAACAGGCTCTGCGATGACAGAGAGAGGCAGACTGCACAGCCACAGCGATGGTCTGGCTTACCGGCCTAGAAATGTAGGTAACAAAGCCTTGAACATGCAAACATCTTGCCTTGTCTAGTTGGAGGTGTGGAGCCGGAGCCTCTCTGGAGCAGGTCAGGACAATGGGGGTTACTGGGCCTCTGTTGCTTGTGCATGTCTGTGTAATGGTATGTGGTAGTGGCTCTCTGATGCTGATGCACATCTGTGCACTGGTAACACAACCACTTGTTGCAGAGTGTACACAGGCTCTGTGCAAGTGTCGGCACTGAGCACTCCGAGCAGTTCTGAAAGACAAAGAAAAAACATTCCTTATGCTCAAAATATAAAGTGGACGCAGTCTCTTTCCCACACACCCACACACACAGAAGCCTGTGTGATAAGACCACACAGTGACATACGTCAGGAACATTTGTGGCGCCGCTTTGCTTCGGGTGAAATCACACCTCCAAGAGATGTTATCTGCTGTCATGCTAGAAAACGACTGAGAGACTTCTACAAGAATATAAATGTGCTTGAGCATTGTTTGAGTATGTTTTAACATCGAAGTAATTTTCCAACAATGACAATTTAAGCATTATGATGCAAGTAAACTTAGAAAGGGGAAGATACAAATCTTTTAGAATAAGGACATTGTTATAAAAATCCTCTTAGTCCTTTTGGTATACATGGAATTTAGAGATGAGCAATGAGCTAAACAAAGAGCATGCAAAATGTCTGAGGAAGTAAGACGGTGCACAGCGCCGCCTGCTAGGTTACGCCGTATTAACCCTTTCGGGCAGATTCATCCTCAGCAGTTCAGCATCCTTGCCAATTTGATGGATTGACGAAAAGTGTATGGACCCAATCCAGTTTTAAACCTTAACACGTGTTAGGTTGCACCGGCAGGGGAATCCCTTCCCCTATTCTGACATGCCACTTTTGGTTTGCGAGAGACAAACGTAGGAAGCGTGTCAACTCGAGACAAGAAAGGCCCACGGTGCCCTGAAGGGGTTCAATCAACAAGATCAGCAGTGCAAACTACTGCACGCAAATAGACAACCTCCAGCTGTGTCAAGATTAAGATAGGAAACAATGCTAAAGAGAAAATCCTACCTTCTCCATTTCAACGCTCGTGAGAGTGGAGCTGTTGCTCAGCGGGAGGGAGAGGAGAGAAGAGCAGCAGCGGCAGCAGCCTGTCGCCTCGGCAGCAGAAGCACTGAGGCTTCTACCTGAGGCAGGAAGCGGCACGCACACAGAGAGAGGTGGCCCCAGAGGAGACGGCTTACATGACAGTCTCACTGTGCTCTCTCCTCCCCCAGTTCATCTAGGTGTAGGACCCCCCCTCACAGTTACGGAAGAGAGTGTCACAGTCAAATCCATCCCCCTGCATGTTGGTGCAGCCAACAAAAAAAAAAAAAAGAGAGAAAATCTAATCCTTTTTCTTAAATAAGCCTGTGCATAATAATTGGGAATTAGGGAGATAAGATAATTATTTTTTTTGTAGGGCAAAATATCCCCGCAAGCCCTTTTCCAAAATGGAGGAAGGTAGACCAAGTGACCTACAATGAGAGAGGGAGGGAGGAAGTGTAATGTAAGCAACTTCTTGGGAGCGGGCAGCGTGAGGAAGGATCCGGCGATGTTGGGCTCGGGTTGAGTCGAGGTATGTGGGTCTGAGCTGGGATAGAACGGCTGTGGCCTTCTTCTCTTTGTCAGCAACGAGGAGGGAACAGGTCCCAAAGGAGCGGCGCGCGAACGTAGCACGCCAAAACCGGGTCAGGCTCTGATAAGCTCCAGATGGGACCAGGTTACCCTCCTGCAATCTCCTCCAACACTGTGAAATCAATTAAGGTTGTTTAACTCAACATGTCAGAGGAAATTAACACAGCACACTGTAAGGAGAAAGAAAATGAGCCAACTGCAGACCGAGATGAAGTGGATTTAGACGCAGAATTGATACGATTCTGACTGTGCATTTGCCAAAAAAAAAAAGTTGAAAACGGGAACCAGGTAGCAGAAAGCGATCCGAAACAAACGCACGCCACCAAATGTAATTCAGTGTCAAACAGCTAAGACTTCTGGAGGTGTGAGAACGTCTGCCTAACAACAGCCCCATGCAGCCTGACCTACAAATCTAACAACTTTCTCATCCTTGGGTGCTTCAGTGGGGAGCTCAGAACAATCCCACTCCCCATTCTGCACTCAAAGACCCAATTTGAAACACAATTAGTCGTATTACACCATTCCTAACGTTCACCCAGCTCTTTGCACGCTCTTTCTCTGCACCTTCTCTGCATTTATCGTTTAAACTGAAACCTCCCGCCAACCTTCCCTGGCCTGTTAAGTGGAGCCGGCGCTGGATACGCAAGCCGTCTCAAGGGATGTCTCAATAATAGAGACCTGCTTAGTGATCTCTCTCTTGAAAGCACCTCCCCATGTGACATCTATTAATACTGAAGTGACGAGATCACAGAGAAAGCAGGATTATCTTTTATAACTCCAAAGTTGTTATATCTATTTAATTTTTTGCGTCTCTTAATATAATGTATTTTCTGTGCTGCAAAGCGATCAATCAACTAGAGAGTCAAAATATTCACTTGCCTAAAGTAGTAAACAGATTAACATTTTTTAAGTAAGAAATGACAACAAAAATAACAAAACCGTTGAAAAAAACCTTGGTAGGAGTTTGTCTGAGGAAACCTTGGATTAGCTGCTGCAACCTCCCACAGAAACCAGATTGTTAAGAGATATTTGATCCAGTATGTTGCTCTTCTTATCGTGGGGGGCTTGAAACTGCTTCAGCAAATAGTATCTCACCACGAGCCTCATGAGTCAAACCGCTAAAGACGATGTCACACACGCACTCTCGCATTCTCTCATGCATACGGGGTTTGTGTTTATAACACATCTGCCGGAAGGCTGGAGGAAGTACAAAAAAAATTAAACATTATTACTTTGTTTGATCATGTTGTTGTTGCTGTTGTTATGGTGGCAAAAACACAGAGAGATACTCACTAATTGTTGTGGCACAACGGTCTGAGAGATAAGCTGTATAGTTGGTGCTTCACTTTCAAACTAGATGTAGCCTCTTAATCTGACACCAAACCTACAACATTTAAAAAAGTTACAATGTGTTAGCCAGATTGCAATGTGCATTATTCAGTAAGTAACAATATGGCGCAGTGAGTGTTTAGCACTAAGGACAAGTCATATTTGTCCTACTGACGTCACGAGGAATTACTTCTCTCAATTATGTGGAGGTTTGAAGGTTGATTCTCGTGGTTTTAATCTAATCAAATCTAATCAAGTACTTGAAGCAGAGTGAGAGTGACAGACTTTAAAGATACGTAGGATTTTAGTACTATATAGTACTGAATGCATTTGATACTATATTTCACTGTAGTGAATTTAAACGGGAGTTTTAACATTTTACTTTAATGTTCATCTGATCTAATTTGTGTTCCCCTGTCTGAAATCCTACAATACGACTATAAGACATTGAAGTTATGTGAAAACTAGCATTACGTGTAGTGCTGTGCTGTATAACTCACTGTACACAAAGCTGTGGGGATTTGTTGTTTTTTTTCCTCGTGGCATGTCCCACGTTTGGCTGCCTGTTCCACGTGTCCGTGAACGTGTCACTGTGACAGCCCTTTATTAGCGCGCGTTCGCCCGTCAGTCAAACCGCAGAGCGGCCGCCGCAGCATCCTCCGCCTCCTCCTTCTGCATCCGCAGCATCACCTCCAGCGCGCGTCCCCGAGCGCGACAGCCTCCTTTAGAAAGTGCGCATGAGATTACGCCCCTAACGCGGCATCACGGCGCGATCCGCAACCAAACCCGAGAGCGCACAAGCACGCAAAACATTTAGTCGGGGCACACGCGTAGTTGCGTGAACAGAGAATCCAGAAACTGTGTCTGAGAATGAAATAATTCCACTCGTGCAAATCATCACATGAGGTAAACATCGGGGAGAGCGCGTGCGAGGACGTCACAGTTGGGACAGTGTCTCCGTTGTGTTGCTGCGTGTCTGTCCCCAGTGCGAGAGTGTTTGTCGTTTTTTTAATATATTTTACCTTGACCCGTGCATGTCCGAGTGCCAGTCCCCACCCCCCATCGGGTGTCGCTCTCCAGTCCGGCCAAAATTTTGGAGATATTCAAGTCTCGCATTTAATCGTGAGATTTGATATTCGCTGTCATGCGATAGTTCTGACGTTTCTCAAAGCTGTAGTGTAACAATACTTGGTGAGGAGAATGGATTATTTATGCAAAGTTTGCAAGAATGACATCCTGGAACCATTACTGATCCAAGGTGATAGAAGAAGTATTCACATGTTGTTATACATGTAAAGTTAGCACGAAGTGAAACCATTATAAGCAGTGGTGGAATCATCCAGATGCAGGTGTTCGTGATAACACGGTAAAGTATTAAATCATGTAATAATACAACACTGACAAAAACCCTTCTGCCTGATGATTACCTATATTTTTGATACTAAAAACATTTTTCTTATAGCACATCTTTACTTTAAGTTAGCATTTTTATTCCGGACTTTTACTTGTAATAGGAGATATTTCTGTTTCTGCCAATAACTTTAAAACGTGCAGTAAAATGGTATATGACTGCAAAAGTACTATTCACACGTAGTACATCCAAAGTAAATTGCACATCTACATAAAATAAAGCAGACGCTTAACAAAGTGTTCATATGAAATAATTTATTTTATTTTTTCATCCTTGCCTTAAAAAAGTGATTACCGTCATGTCCTGTGGGAAAGTATCACTCTGACTGAGTCTGTATGATCATTGATGCATTAAACTAAAAGTAGTCTTTTGATGTATCTTGTGGTGGAGCCGTAAATACACTTTACTGCTGTGGTACAAAACACGTCAAAGTGTTGTATGTAAATAGTTTATATGTGAAGCAACAGCCATCAGATAAATGTTGTGGAGTAAAAGTAGAAAATCTCTTGTTAGTCTCAAAGGTGAATGCTACAGTACAATTAAAGCACTACTACCTTAAAATGGGAAATAACCAATGTAAGTCACGGATATACAGTAGGTAACCAGTTTAATCCTAAACAGAGAACATAGTTATTTCACAACAAATTTCAGCCTTTAATTGCTATGAAGGACACCAGCAGAGAAGAAGTAATATGCGGCTTGAATCAACAGAGAGGCTTTCGGTTAGTAGAGCTGATGACAGCACGTCAGCGACAGCCACCACGGTGATGTGCAGAGACCTAAGAAGGTGGGAGCTGGTGCCAGACTAACGGTGCCTTTTGGGATCCCACCAACCTCCCGTCATGCATAGCTTTGGGGGAAGCTGTCATTGAGATGACGGATGCAAAAGGAGGCAGTTTTTGTAATTGTAATTTAAGCATTTCTGTTATTAAAATGGACGTCTATATGCTCTGGGTCTTGTTTTGTCAGAAATAAAGGCTGATGATACATCTGTAATCTTTTTATTGATATGACTTGGAAGTGCGGGTTAGAAAATAACGTTTGACCTTTAAGCAACAGTTAACAACACAGATAATTAACGTGCTTATTACAAGTAGACTCAATGCAGTGCACTTTGAAGAATTTATAAAATGTTTTAATAAAAGATCGCAAAAGACTCAATGAGGAGTTACAATCATTTTCTTCATTGTCTTGATGCATGTACAGTTTTCAAAGCGGTTCCACACTCCTTAAACAGAGGACAAGGCTGGTGAAATACTGCAAAACTAAAACCACATGGACTGTACATCTATAACCTGTCAGGTCACATACGCTCACACATCCTGATAAAACTCTTCACAAGCACACCTGACATCAGTGGTTACTCTACGGCTCACTCACTGTGCTCCGTCTTACTGCCGCTATCTCATAAGGAACTATAAACATACACTGAAGAATATCACAGCCAGCTTACAGTGAAATATGTACAGATTTTTTTTTTAAAGAAAAAGAAAAGCGTTACAAAAAGGTGAGAATCATCATAATGCAGCGACTTGAGACATCGGGTCTTCAGTTTGTTGTAAGACTGAAAACGACAGGAGCAGTTCCCCTCAGCTCTTTTTGTGCAGAAACTTCATTTTACTTCCTGAAAACAGTCAAAACAATTATATTAAAATGTGGGCAATACATCAACACCCCACAGGTTCAATTTTATTAAAGTCATTAAACTGAATTTGGGGATCTAACAAGGCAGAGATTACATCAGGAATGGTTGGATTTTACCACAAGGCATTCATCCAAAATCCGAGTAGAAATCTGAATATCTCCTCAAATGTGTGGAATCCAGATAAAAATATTAAATACCCCCTCCAGACGTGTTTAATGACATAAATAAGACTCTGGATTACCAGACAACATCCTGCTTACGTAACGTATTACAGGGCTTAAACGTAAATAATAAAAAAGGAACGGAGCCGTCGTGTGTCTGCAGCAGGACTCACCGAGGCCTTTCAGAAACTTGTTGACTCCGCTTTGCTCCGTGTCTGGCAGCTCCTCCAGATACTGATCCACCCTTTGCTCAAACAATCCTGCCAATGGGACAGAGCCAGAGATGAAAAAAGAAAAATAATCTCATATTGCAGGAAGTTACAATTACTTGCTCTGCCAAAGAGCAGAGTGACGTGGTGAGAAAACAACTGGAAACACCGAGTGAACTTTCAGCCACTAGAGATCAGTGTTACTGCAGTAGCCTCTCCTGCTACACTTTATATACTTGTATACTCTGTTATTGGGATGTCTACAAGCATGGACACAAGTGACCCTCGGAGAACGCAGCGTCTACCTTTAGCCCGGTTCTTCCTCAGCTCCCGATCCTGAATGAAACCAGCAAACATCTGCGACTCCATGAAGACACCCAGGAAACGACGGATGCTTTTAGACGCCACGGATTTACGGAAGGTCTCTCTTTGAAAAATGCGCTCTCCGCGCTCATTCTGAGCGATAAACAAGGAGTAATGTCCGATGGTCTCCAGGAAGAAGCGGATGAAAGCCTCTGACACCAGGCTGTTCAAGGAGTTGTACTCTGTCAAGACAAAGGAAAGGGGATTAATGGGAAATCTGAAACTGAAAAGTCACAGATTATTTTTTTCTTCTCTTTTTCTCAAATCGCGGATGTTCCAATGTTGTTTTGCCGCAATGTCAGTTAAAGAACAATTAACTTTCTGAAAGACACTAAATTGAGCCCTAGTGACTCACTGTGACGAGTTGGCCCAGAAAGACGTCAGAGTTTTACAGCGACTTGGACTGAATAAATCTAATGAATTAATTAATAGTTTGGTAAGAAGTGATGACGTCCATTCACCTTCGTCTGACTCACTGTCCGAGTCCTGGCTGATGATGTCATTCCTCTGCTCCAGTGCTTGCTCAAGAGCCGCCTGAAGTTTCCGTGGTAACAGCGAGGCCTCGTCGTCCATCTATAAACAACCAAAAACACTGCAGTCAGTGATAAACAACAATGTTTGGAGAATACGTTTCAAAGGCTCAGACTTCCAACAGAGAACCTCGTGTTTACAGCCTGTTTAAAGCAAGACCGTGTAACGTTTGAAAGAGGAAAAAAACACAAAAGTTGATTTGATGAGGTACTGAAAAGCCCACTCAAACTCCTCAAAAGATTCAGGATGTTTGCGGCTTACGCCTTACATGGTCTAATGTGACCAGAAACAGTTCATGTTTGCTAGCTTTAGATAAAAACATTTGATACAGACTGCTGTTGTGTAACATACTCTACTAAGGCATTTTTCAGCATGTCACAGATGCATATTTGCATTTATTACATAAAAGGAGGAAATGTATGAAAGATCCCTGGTACGTTTTAATTGAAATGTTGCAATGATTACTTAAGAAATGAATGGTAATTGGCGTTATGTTGCCAGTAAAATGTATATAGTTTTCATTTTCCTCCCATTTACTTTCTTTATATATTGTATTTTCTTTTCACAGACTAACCTGTCGAATGAATCGGTCAGTTCCCAGGTCGACCATTAAAGCCTGAGAAAAGGAAAAGAAGAGGATATTATTCTTCTGAACTAATAAAAACATTTGTTTTATCTCCTCTAAGAACTGCTAATTACACCTTTGCTCTCGGTACAATAGAATCTGTAAGAGAAATAAAATGAATGCTTCACATAAATCACAGAAATAAATAACAAAATATGTATAAAAGCAAATTTCCTTCTTATTTTCACAAGTTATGTTGTGAATTAATAAGCCACAGTAAACGTGATGTAAACAGAGAGTCAATGTTATCAGTCATTGCCTATGTGACTATATAGATCTGTTCAGGTACATTAAGAAACACATATTTTGCTGCAACTAACCAACATTTACATTCATCAGTGACTCTTGTTTATTTCTATTGTGTGTGTATGTTGGTTTCAAACTTGTTTTGCCCGATTCAACACCCAAATATATTCAGTTTGTGGTTCAAGAACATACAAAGCCGAATCACATCTTTGAAATTAGTAATAAAACTGTATACTCTATTTGATGAATGCTGCACGAATCACTACCTTTGTATAATCCATGGATCAAACTAAGTTGCATCACTGGGGAGGGGTCGACTGTATGTATCACCTCAGCTCCCAGGAGCATTTCCAGGTTCACTCCACAAGGTGATAAAAGGCCAGTGTTGTGTTTATGGCTTGTTCCACTGCCCTCAAGTGGCACAAAAACCACAGCAAATGCACATTTCAGTTTCCCTGATCTGAATGGTGCTGTTGAACTGTGGTTGGAAGGTACTTGGCTGGTTCCCTGATATCATAAGACTACAGGCAGAGGAGCTCAAACACCCGCAGCAATACTCAGACAGTTTATAAGCAACTCGCTCTGAATCTGTATCGCTTTCATTTTTCAGCCCACGCGATAACCTCCACTATTCCAGGAAACTGGCGTTTAATCAGAAAACTGAAAGATAGAAATATCAACCAGTGATGAGCCACCAGGGATCTGAAGACATTTAGGAGACAATGGCCTCAAATCTGTCTTGGAAACTCCACCAAAGGTCTTTTGAGGTCTACTCACCTCTTCTACAGGCAACTCCTTCAGCTTTGGCAGGGAGCTGGACAGCAGCCCCACCAGGAAGGGAGTGGGACAGCAAACAATGTCCAACATGGAGCCCGGCAGCACGGGGATGAAGGTGTGTTGCCAGGAGAAAGGGTAGAGCAGCGCCACCACTGCATGCATGCAGCCGGACAAGGTGCTGTAGATGGGAGACAAAAAAAACACACACACACCATTTGGTCACCTTCACACTCACACACATTAACAACGCCCTGCAGAGGCCACACCAGTTTAAACTAAACACGGTCAAAATGGAGCAGATGTTTCACTAGATAATGTATCACTTTTTTTCCCCAGACAGAAAGGGGAGTGGTGGTTTTTGTGGTAAAAATATTTTTTTAAAGTATTATTTAAAATAAAGTACTATTTAAAATAAATTGTATCACTCAAAAGGATCAAATCACACTTTCTGGTTAATTTACCCGATTATCCTTCCCTTGAAGCAGTTACTTTAATATGTAATCTTGTTCTTCCTGCTGCTCATTTGAAGGACAGAAGTATCCAGCATTGCCACTTTCTTTTCTCTCACTTTTAGAAATATTTCTGAACAAATTACTGCATGTCTCTCCTCCCTCTCAGAGTTTAACACCATCTATTACGAACCGCAGTGAAGAATGGGGAGCCCAATAAAACCCATTACGTGGGTCGGCGGGGCTAGCGTGACTCTGACATGTTGCCGTAGTTAAGCTCGGGGCTTGTTGACGCAATACCGAAAAGCGCCACTTTGGTTTAACTCCGACAGCTGTGGCATAAAATGGAGATCACAAATAGCAGCCCGTCTTTCTCACGATCCGCCGCTTGTTGACAGTGGGTGACCCTCCTCCCCTCTGTCCTCCACATACTGTCCAGTCCATGTACACAAAAGGGAGTGAAAATAAACTGTGGCTCCAATCATACACACAGACGCGCGCACACACATACACACGTACAGTGGAGTCACTAAATCAGTATGGATCGAGAACAAGGCCGGGGATCAAACGTGGTATGCACACGCACACACACACACACACACACACACACACACACACACACCCCGCTCGGGATGCACTTTTAATGAGGAGGTTTTTTCTGTGGTTGCTGTCGTCCACGGCCCACAGAACATCCAAGTAAACAGAAGTTACTCCCTTACATGTGACCTCATTCACACTCAGTTAAGAGAGACCATACAGAGAACAGAGATCAGTAACCTAATCAATGAGCTGAGATAAATGACAAAACTCCCACAAACCATTCCACTCCAATCAGTCAGGCTACATGTTTGCCAACGGCCTTTTTCATCTAAACCTCCCACGAGTCAAATTGTCAATATTAAAATGTGGTTTCCTGACAGGGGTTAACTAGAATGATAAGCCACACGGTGCGGTCGTTTAAGGCCTTTTCCAGATCGCTCACACCGTTAAAGCAATTGCAGCTTTCCTTTGGCCGTCTGATCTCCAGTTGCCTGAGGAGGGCTTCATAATTTCTAACAGATCCCGTCTCCCGTTGCAGCCATACACAACGCTGATACCAGAAGGATGGATTACACTCATTCCCCAACCACGCACTCTGGGGAGAAGATGAACTTGCAAAGAAAACACTCTGCGCTACTAGAGGTTGCCACTCAGCTGGGGAAGGAGAGAGAGGGACATTCCCATTCGGACCAAACTCCAGACCCTCAGACACCACACATGCGTTGTAACAAAAGGGAGAACATGTTCTCTGGTCTCCCTGTGCACTCACAGGCCACAAAGAAAAACAAGCGTCCAAAACTGGTTATTTTGGTGCCTCCTTGTACAAACAATAGGAAGGAAAGAGTAATTCCGTGTGTCTGCCATGTTTGCTATTGTTACTCACTTTTCAGGGCGCAAAAAGCTTCTGAGAGGGCTCAGCTGAAGTTTGACTTATTTTTAAGCATCGGCATACATGGACGCTTGGAAAAAAAGAAGAAGATAAAAGATATTTGATCGCATAAGTCATACGAATTCATGAATCCACTCTCAGGCATAAGAGGGTAACCAGTTACTGTGGGGTGAGGTGCATAGGAGCTGTTGTGTGTTGAGGTTTGGGAGCTAATCCTGACATATTAGCCCTCATAGCCCTGCCAGGCCTGGTTTAGTGTGTGCGGGGCTGAACTGGCAGTTGTTTCAGGAAGCAGGGGATCCAGAGGCTTAGTCTTTGAAGCCCGGAGGAGGAGGGAAGTTTCAGTGTCTGAGACAGAGAGAGAGAGGGAGGAAGTCAAAAGCCTCTATCACCACATGCTTCACGGTCCTACTAAAGCACTGCACTGTGTCTGCCGGTCTTGGCATGGCTCAGACTGATTCCATAGACGCAGGACAAAGAAAACTGGGCTGAACCACAGCTGTCAGACACCAGCTGTTCGGAAAAGCCCCGCAAAACCATTCTCCAATGTTAAAGCTCAAATTAACTTCTAGAAATCATATAAAGAAGCAGCGGGGGGGGGTATAGACCTATAGGATTCCTATGACAAGCTGCACAGGGTGCATTTCGATCCGCTAGCAGAAGGCGCTCTCCTCCCTCAGTTCCCAAATGGTTTTCCCCTCACTTCCTGTACTTAAGGATCTCCAGCAGCCGGCCCACGGCCTCAGCACTCCAGCTCCACAGAAGGTAACGGCCTCCCAGTGGCGAAACTCCACACAGGGTCTCATTTAAACCCCAGTAAGTTTGATCGGCTCTGTTGTCAGTGCAGATGAATACGCGCAGGTGTTTGTGTATATGAGTGTCGAGGTGTAAGTAAGCGTCTACGTGCGGGTGTAAACATAAGAGCGACATTGATGTGAAAATCAGCTGCTCAGGCGCTGGCAGAGTCCAAGGGTTTCTTGAAAAAGTGAAACATTTCACATGTCAACAGTTTTTGGATTTCACTCTTCTCTAACTCAGAGTTAAATACCACATGGGAAACTGGGCAAGGCTGTTAAAAGCCGTTTTGGTTTTGTGCCATTTCTGCAGAGCGTTTTGCAGAAAGTGTTTCAGAAAAGCTGAGAATTAAGAATTAAATTAAATGTGTATGTTGTCTACGACACCATTGACCGTGATACTGCAGCTGCAAAACGTCTTCAGACCGCCAACTAACTTTCAGACTGCTCTATTATTAGACAACATTTTTATAATGACCTTCTTCTTCATTCCTTTTTACTCTTCCCCTCACTGTTTCTCCAACATAGACTCATATTTTAATATATTCATTCATTTTTTTCACTATGTAAGACACCTAACCAGGTTAATATAATGCATTTTCCAATTAAATATTTCAAAATTAACATTTGAGGGTAAAAATCATATTGATTTATGATGCAGCAAAGCAGGTTGGATTAAATGACTTTAGCAACAGAGTCCTCTCTGGGAAAGTCATTTAATTTGCTTAAGTATTCTACTGCCGTGCCTACAGACAAATCCAGACATGCACACGCAATTTAGTGACTGTCCTCAACTCTAGCCTGTCTGACAGAGACTGTTTACATAAGTCTGCAGCACGGACCAAACTTCAGCATCTGCAGGCTGATCAAGTTAAGCAGTTACAGAGTGACCTGGCTTATGATAAATGTATCTGATCGTGCATCCTCACTCATTAATACAGGCATTGGATGGAAACAAATGTTCTCTCATCCAGAAAAAAACAACGGAAGGTTTCAGTGTAATAGAGTTAAAGGAAGGTAACACAGCAGAGGAGCGAGGGATAGAAGGACACACAGAAAACTGTTGCCACAAATGGCTTTTCCTCTCGCTTCCTGCTTGCCGTGGACGCACATTTCAAGGGAAAGAAACATACATCATGGTCTGCTGGCGAGCTATTTTGGGAATGGATTATGTACCGGAGCCCCAGAGGGAGCAGCCCTTTATCATCGGAGTCATTAATGCTGCAGAGAGGCCCTGTCACAGTTTTGAACAGAAACCAAAACACGGGAGCCCTGCATGTATGCCCGCAGAATCAGACTTTCTATTCCACATGTACACATGCTAGAAAAAAGGTTTACAGATTAGGATTCATCATGTGTATGCACTTTGTTCCAAATACAAAAGGTTCATAACGCAGTGAGCAACATCCGTGCTTTTTTAAATACGTTTCTCCATTCAGGTTTGCAGATACTGCATCGAATTCTGAATGCTTGTCCAACAGGATATCACAGAATTGCCTGTGGAGTTTACCCTCACCATTTTGGGCAGCATACAGAAATAAATCTCGTAAGTTATTGCCTGATTCCCACCCAAAGACTCCTTGATGTAATCACGTCTCTGTGATGAGCAACGTGATATTCTACGCGTACACAGAGAGCGCCGTAGCTCATAAGTAAGGAGTGAACGTGGCACCATAAGTCAAACGGCGACAGTCCGGCCACAGATCACAGAGGGCAGAGTCGCGCACACAGGAAGTACATTCCTCCTCCTCGCAGTCACTGCCCCCACTGATGTTTGTTTAAACTGGGCTTTGATACATGGAGAGATTACTTCTCCACTCAATTATTCTCCAACTCCCCTCTCGCATCCGATGCCGTAAACGTAGCCATCTCTTCTCTTCTAACAATGAACAGACTGGGACACCAAACCCGGAGAGACTCATTGCATCTCATCAGCCCCACCTTCTTTTGCTCTGGCAGTGACTCACTGTTCGACCCACTTCGCTTCTGTTTTCCTTTCCTTACTGGCTGATTGACCTGAAATCCAACAATTCTCCTCAGCCCGGGTTGAGAAAACCCCACAGCTCCATATGATGCTTTCATTATCTGTTTAAGAAAGGTTATTGTTAATCTGTTGTCATCACCAGCCTAGATTAGTGTCCTAAATGCACACAAAGGTGGCAGTTTGGGAAAGTGTGGAGGGTATATTCCTCATATTTTCTCAGTTTTGGATAAGCTTTCTTTAACTTAAATACTATCTATGAGATGATAGGCTCACTGCAGAGGGATTAAGACGAGCACGGCGCCTCACCTGAGTTTATCAGCCACGAAGATGACCCGACGCTCCAGCAGCAGCGAGGCAAAGACTCGTATCACCTGCCGCACACTGAGACAACTGAAAAGACTATCGAAGTCCACATGCTCCAGTCTGGAGTCTGTGGGCCGCCTCAGCTCGATGACCTGAAAATAAATTCACACATCACATTCACACATTTAAATTGTGATCTGTGGGTCCAATTAACTGATAGGATTTCACACAACTGCAAGCAGAAAGCAGTGAGAGGAGGAGCTCTAACCTCATTTCCTGCACCGGGCAGAAAGGTCTTTACTTTGATAATTTTCCCTGGTGCAGGGAAGGGAGACTCCATTAGACTCCTCATGAAGGGGTAGACGAGGGCTGCTGAGACGCCTCGACGCCTTTCTACCTCATCCAGGATCTGAACATGACAACACAAAGCAAGGTTTCCGCCACATATTACAACTGGTTTCATAAATACACACTTTCTGGATAATGATCATATGAAAGGAGCCTATGCTTATATCCATATTGAATGAATGGCATGGCAAGAAAAAGTGCAACGTCATCAAGATTATTGACCGTGGCGACAATTAGTAGAAAACATATCGTCATGTGTTTGAGCACCAACAACGTGGAACTGCTTTAGAAAAATAAAATAGGCAATTTCTTTCCAGGTGTGTGTGATTGGAGATCTGCCGGTTTTGGTCCCAGATGCCGGCTGTCTGGTAAGTTGATTGGAGAGTCAAGGTCTTATCGAGGTCATATGACATCACCTCTTTCGTCTTCTTCATTCCTCTGTCTGTCTGATATCGAAGGGAGTTGTGTGTGTGTGTGTGTGTGTGTGTGTGTGTGTGTGTGTGTGTGTGTGTGTGATACAAACACCGGTTTTCTTCCCATTTGCTTCAATTTTATTATCTTCAAAATGAAAAGAATTCACATTCTGTTGCTGTTAAATGCTGAAACTATTGTGCCAATTTATCTGCTTAACCCAACTGCTAAATACAGATTTCAGATGTTTCATGTTTGCTGGGCTTTTACAGAGCCTTTAATCACAGCCCGCCTATGACTATAAGCAAACAATGAAACGCATATTTGCTTTAGTCTTTGAAACATACCGTGGCATTTTATTTTCATGTAACACAGTCACCACTTTGTCTCAACAGTGTGGACTTACCCCCTTTGAATTAATAAGTGATCAGATAAGCCTGGAAAAGTCAAACAGAGTGAGGGCTCAGCTCTGTGTGAGTGCCACTTAGACAAAAGAAAGGAAACAATTACTCTGGCAAATCAGGAGGTAAAAAAAAAGAAAGAAGGACTGAAATAAGGTTTACCAATGAACAGGCGCTTTGCAGAAGGTCTGCTGAAAGTCATTTATTTCTGCAGTGAGATGGTTTAACCACAGCAACAAAACCACACACAGCCAGCGTACTGCAGCGGCCTGTATAAAGTGTGTGTGTGTGTAGAATTCACAGGAGAGGATGAACTCACCGTAGAGAACAAGTCAAAACAGCCCAGTCTGCTGATGACACAGTACACCTCTGGAAGGCGAGATCCTTTCCCACTGGGCTGCAGGAGAAGGCAATGGACTCAGTGAACACTGGGGGACAACAGACTCGATGAAGAGACACATTCACGGACGTTCTGTGAACTGTCTACAAACCTATTTAAAGAGGTAGTCGTCATGCAGGACTTAAGAGGGAGATAAAGATCTCTATGTTTTTTTTACAGCTTTACAAAACTCCTCCAGAGCCACAAGACATGACAGCATGAATAATTCTCCCTGTCATAATATACTGAATTTGAATTCGATGGTGACATTTTAAAGACAGGCAGAAAAGCCAGCTAGCATCTTTTTTGTATGATCACCTGTAGACCGTTATAATATCACATGTTGATCAATTGATTAAACACTGTAGATAAAGTCTTCGAATCTAGGCTTTATCTGATGTGAAAGTCTTTAATGTGGATCCCAACTTCCCAAACACAGGTGGTTTATCTGCTCCTGCTGATGGTATCTACCTTCCTCTGCACACTCATACACCATTATGTGCTCCAAGGCCCCAGACACTCAAACGCACAGACACAAATGAACACAAGCACTCAACAACTACCAATCCACTTCTCCATATTAGGTATACAATTTTCTCTTGGTTTCTCCTCCGCTTTTCCAAATGGATGATTAAATCAACTATGTGGAGCTTGATTCAAGTCCTTAGGAATGCTCGCTCGCTGCCAGCGCCAAGTCGACCCGGAGAGCAGGGAAGAAAAGAAGTTACTGGAGGAGAGCAGCTCACCTCTTCCTCTCGCTTCATTAAAATCTGCTTCCATCAAAATGTATCTCAGATCAACAGAGCAGATCCAGTTTAATAACTTTTTTGTGTCCACAAAACGTCCGGCTGTTATCCAGCACACACACACACACACAGGGATGAAAACACTCCCTGTAAACTTATGAAAACACACACTGTCGTTTTGTAAACATACCCAGAAATACCAAAAGGCAAACACAATCACCACCACATTCACAGAGTCCCACACAGTCCTTCCCTCCACCCGCGAGCTGCATGGGAAGCGCAGCAGAATAAAAAACATCAAAGCGCTCTGCTGCCTCATTATAAAGGAGAAATGCTCCACAATGACACAGTTAGGATTTCTCATGGTTTTTCTTTGTTTCTCATCTCCTGAGAAACTTTCGTTAAATTTAATGAGTGAAACAAAGTTTTTATCATATGATTATAGTTGAGTGCACTTGATGACTGGGACTGAATGTTTGCATTTATAGTTATAGTCATAATAGTAACAGTTAAATAGTATGCAGCCACTATATTTCTTTTTTTATGTCTGCGTTTTTATCTCCTGCTGCCACAGTGGACGGTCGTGTAACACACGAAGAGGAAATGCTGGTCTCCACAGAACCAGCATTTCATGCGTTCATATAAAAAAGGTCTGTAAAAACAAACAGGGCTCAGCAGGGTGTGAACAGGGAGCAAAGGGGTCGGGGGGGTGGGGGGTCCAGGGGGTCCGGGGGGGGCTTACCAGCAGGCGTCTACAGTAACCAAACCTCCTGCTGCCGTCCTCTCCCGTCAACATGAAGGAGAAAGTCTCACTGCAGCAAAAGACAAATGTATACACATGAGAAATGACACAAAGACACATGACTTGAATTTGAATAATTCACAATTTCACACTGACGCAGTTTCCCTTAAACATATCTAGTAAACTGAATAACGTTTGCATACCTGGTGAACTCAGACACAGGACTCCAGTCCTTTGCATCTGGAAAACAAAACTGAGGTATGGCTTTGAGCCTCTGTTCGGCCTCCCTCATCTGCTTGGTGGGTCTCTCTAGCTGTGAGAGGCGAGGAGAAGAAGGACAAGACAGGAGTTTCAGTTAGTTCATTCTCATTTAGATAACTTTACACTTTCAAGACAGTTTTGAATGTTGCTTCTTGTGTTCCTGACACGTATCAGATGTGGTGCTCCGCTGGTTTACCTTAGGGAACTGGTAAGTGACCTCCGGGGAGTAGGAGTTTTTGCTGGGTTTCTTTTTGAGAGAAACAACCACAAAATACTGAAAGAGTTCTCTCTCCTGCCATTCAATGAGCTGCAGCTCCAGCGTGCGGTAGCTGGGCGCCCGTCGAAGGATGGACTGCAGTTTCAACAGCCTCTGGGTGTGAGCTGAGGAGGGAAGCGAACGTCAATGCACACAACTCCTTGTTCAAAGAAAATTCCCACTCAACGGTTCAGAATGTAATTCTAGGGCTCAAAGGGAATTATCTTCAGACAGAAGTTAAATGAAATGTTATTTCTGTAATTCACTTTTCTCCAAGAATTCCCGTCATTGAACATAGACATGTGACAAATGTTTCATGGTTTTCTGGTAATCCATGTATAGGGCAAATCTTTCAGTTAGAATTCTGTGTTTTCCGTCGGGTCATAAGAGGTCAACAGTGTAACACCTCGCCGTGGCAAAGGAATGCTGTGGTCACTCACCTTTGAACCTGTCATCAGAGTCACTCTCACTCTCACTGTTGTCATCTGGAGGCAGACATGAGACAGACAAGAAGGTTTTCTACGGGTCAGAAGGCAATTTCGCAGACCCGTGTTTATGTCACGAGTGGGACACAGCAAGAACCCCATGCGGCCATGAGGCTGCGGTGAAAATATTTTCTCACTTACCTGGCTAAAGGGCAATAAAGGGAATAAAGAGAGCCCTCACCTCTCAGAGATGCCGTCTCAACATTGGACATGTTCAGCTTCTTCAGCCTCTTCTTCCCACGTTTAGTGCAGTAAATGGAGTTGATCCTCTGGACGAGCTGTAAACGGAGGAAAGAGGAAAGAGGAATTTTTGCGTCTTTTGAGCCTAAGAATAGAGGAAGAAGAGGGGTTTTCCTGCCCCAAATTAATCATGTATTGTGCTTTAAGGGTTACTTCAATGCCAAATTTCCACAAGAGAAACCCAAGCACTGTATTTGATAAAAGTATAAAGGATTGCAAGTGATCGGGAGCTGCTCTGACTTGGTCCCTCCAGAAACCTAAGCTGGTCTGTGAAGGGGTAAAGCAAAGAGAACACGGCCAGAGCTCTGCAGGGCCTTAGTGGAGGTGTTTGTGTAGGATCTTGGATTGTGTACCTTGGGGATCCTCCAGTGCCTGTGTGAGGCCAAAGTATCACCAGCGCTACAGAGGCTATCATCCGTCAGCCGGCCACAGGGTGACGTGGATACAGCCCGCTGAGAGGGAAGCAGCATCTCATCGTGGCTGTAGCGCTTGGACAACTGAGCCATGCGATGGCTCTTCCTGTCACTTGGACCAGGGAGGCGAAGAGACTGGCTACTGGGTTTGGAAGGCAACTAGTCAGAGAGGAAAGACAAGTCAAGGGTTGGTATGTCAGTTGTTCCAGTGCATTCACTCGAGTTATAACCCCCGAAATACCCAATTTTGCTCTTCTTCTTTGCTTCTTTGCTTAAAAAATAAACAACTTTAAGGCTATTTATTAAGGTTTAAGATCTGATAGCTGTATGTGTTAGTAGCAATGTCCAACATTCACACGCTGGATTATAAAATGCACTTCCAAGATTTACAGGATATTATGCATGCTTCACTGTTTACTGCTAACTCCATTTCCACTGTAACAGAGCTGCATCAGGTTACTGTCAAAGCAAATCAAGCATTGAGAGCATTAAAACCTCAACAGCATCCAACCAACAGAGAACAAGGTGTCTCTTATTGTCAAGCAGTCACAGGAAATGTACAGCATTTGTCTCGGAGGTTAGGCTTAGAGCAACAACTCTTGTGCCAAGACATGGTTACTTAAAGCTGATGAGTTATACATTTGGTAGCAAGCAATGGAACGAGAAGGAGCCGCCACAGTGAGCTGCTGGGTGAAGATCTGCAGATCTGCCGCTACACACCTCAACCTCTGCAGAAAAGTCCCAAACCTTGCTGTGTCCTGTGGTAGACTATTCCTGTCATGTGCAGCTTCACATACGATTGCAGTTCATTATAGTAAGTAAGTAAGTAATTATTGACTGACTTATTTTCTAAAGCATTTTGTTAATTTGTTATATTCCTGACTAAGTAGCTGCTCAATAAGTGTTCAATGGAGAATTAAATACAGTCCACAAATAGCTGTTTGTTGCCAGCAGTAACCACGTGTGTCTAACTTTTTTATTGGGCTACAAGTGCTCCTGCGTTTAAGCGAGGGATCAAAATGTGCAGATGGGCCTTTCTGTTGAGAATCACAAGGCATAAACATATCAAACTGTTGCGGCACAAATGAGGTGTGAGATTCTTTAAGAGATCTTGTCCAGGCACTGACGCATAGCGAGGGAGACTCACGTTACCACTGGAAAACATGTGTATTATGTTTACAACAGGAAAACACATCAGTGCTGTTGATCCCAACAGGGCTTACCTGAGGCGGAGAGTTCAGCTTCCTATCCATGGTGCTCCACGATCTGTTGCCCTCCAACAGACATGACTTCCGACCAAAACTCTTCCGCTTCAGGTCAACATCCTCATAGGGGTTCTCCTTCTCTGTCGGGATGAAGTAAGTACTTAGTGCAGCCCGACTTTAATGTCGGAAGCAACTGGCCATGGACAGAGGTTGTTTTTGACAGAAGACAGACGAGGCTGCAGGGTCAAAGAGGGGGAGACCGGGGACGGCAAGAGGTGTCAGAGGGCCTCCCCAGGGTTAGTCTGAAAGGAGATGAGTTGCGAAAGGTAGGTCAAAGGTCACTCCCAGCTTCTCAAGCAAACTCCCCTTTTTTCAAACACAGTTGCTGTTGGCAACGGGCCCCACAGGCTCCAGTGGGCCCAGCTGTAACTTCTGGAAACAACGGTGCTGGTGAGTCACTGTCCAGGCATGCCAACCGTCTGACACGACTAGTGCTTAGATGGGTTACATTTGATTGATTTAAATATATTATTAGAATAATCATTGTTATAAAACAACATTTAAAATATGCATCACCGTACGTTAAGTAAGTTACAATAAACACAGACCTTTCCACGGCACAAGTAGATGTACTTGTGATTGTACGTGAATAAGTGATAGCAGAAATTGAAAGAAAAGGAAGTGCTGCACAGCTCTCACTGATGTCACCTGGCCGTGGGCCAAATTCAATAAAGAGAAAACTTGCGTAACACAGTCCATGTCTATTCAGACATGTGCTCTGAGAATAGATTTTTTGGCAGGGTCTGAAGAAGGTTGTGAGAAAGTGAAGAAACCACAGTGAAGAATAAAAACAGAGCCAGATGGCGTCAAAATGCATGAGGGAAACTTTTAAAGAAAGAAAAGCAATGTTATCTGTCAGTAGAAAGGGAAAGAACAAAAAAATTGATTTGGTAGCTGTGTTCCTTCTTCCTGAGTATGTTAGTGGAAAACCCGATGAACTCAACATCTCAAATAGCGAGTGTGTGTTTTAAACACGTTTTAAACTTAACGAACAGGCAGAGCCCTGTTCAGTTATCTATTCTTCAGTGAATTATTAACTATCAACCCACATCCATGCACACATTAAATGCACACTGCTCAGGACCTTGGTGGTGATGTGATGTTCCACACAGTACACCAGCCTACTGGAGCAACCTTCTGTGCATCATTAAAGCAGAACGAGAGGGCGAAGCGTCACCCCACGTTGTGCCGCAACTCCATTAAACGCGAACTATACTGTAATGAGAGCCTGCTGGGAAAATGATATGTCTGCGTGGCTGCTTATGAACTGGAGGGTACTAATCTACTGCTCTGATTACAAACATCCCCATCCCCGTGTAGCACAACCACAGACACGGGGAGTGGACACACCTCGGCTGCACACAGTGCAGTTACACAATGGACTCTTTGGGCAGGGCGAGGCACACAACACACTATACCAACAACATCACAAGCGGCTCACGCTACAAAGTTGACGAGTTACAGTATAATGGCCCCTCAACCATTGAGCCCTTAACAGAATGGTGCAGGTAAAGTTTTGTAAAAAGCATTTGGTGGCACCACAAACTGCGCATCACATCGCGTCCATCGTGAAGAGCTTGTTGGAGGAAGGTCGTAGGAGAATGCAAAACATGATATTTTTTACCCCGTACGATGAATAAAATCCTAGGTCCAAGCATGTCTGTAACTGTGTGAATGTAACCTTAATCAGATCTGAATCACTCACAACCTGCACCAGACAGTTTCTCATATTATTCACAAGAGCAGACGCCGCTCGAGCAAACTACGTCAGCGAACAAATGAGACTGTGACGCCACGATACAAAGAGTTGAATCATAGTGTTAGCCAAGGGTGTGATTCATCTTTCCTGTAAAACACTCATTGGCACTCCATGTATCAACTCCACCAGTCAAAAGCACTTAAAACATTCCCCCATATTACTTAAACCATCGTTGAACACTGTAGCGTGGGTTACACAACTTTCACTCTTAAGGTAAAAACGTCTGACATCAAGCACAGGTGCCAAAAAGCCAAATCCTCCAAAATGTCGTGGGGACTTCTGGTTCCCTATATTCTAGTTTAAAAAGAGGCGAGAACATATGGCTCATTTACAGGTGTGACTGCTTTTGACACGGATCATCTGTAATCTGTAATCTAAAAACCGCTGTCCATTGGTAGTGGAGACCACTGTTCCCCTCCATTGGGACTCCAATTTGAAAGCTTTGTTGGAAATAGCTGAAGCAACTTCAAGCTTGTAAACAATATCTTTGTCAGGAACATAGAGACTTTGGCAAAAGTTGCATCACAACCAAACTGAACTCTCAACACTCACAATGCCAGATAACAAAAAAGGCTTTGTCAGGATTCCCATGAAAATCAGTCACGCCCTTCCACTGGAATAAAGGAAATGCTCTAGAGCATGACACTGATCACTGTTTTGAGAACAATGGGGCTACTTGTATAAAAACCACGTAAGCAATGTAAAACTTGGTCCCTGAGCATCCATTCTGAAAAAATAGCACTTTATTGAATCAGAAAAGGTTTTATCACAAGACTCACAAGACACACCTCGACCTGATAAAAGTATGCACTGCAGGAAAAGATGAATGCCACCTGTGCATGAATGCATTCATGGGAAAAGTAAATTACCCTATTAAACTCTGATACTTAACATAATTAGCTAATACAATACAAAGGGAACAAAACAAAACAAAACTACTACTGCTATTCCAGCAATGATTTTCCAGATTTGTTAAATAATCGGGTCATCAGAAAAAAGTTCCATTCCATTTCCCAGAGCCCAAGTTGATACGTTCAAATTCAGCAAGAGAACCTGCAAATATTCACATTCAAGAAGCCAAAACCAGAAAGAGCAATTTTGCAGGTAGGAGAGAAAACCAGTGAGAGATCCAAGTTCCTCTCCACTGATTTTAAATTAGTTTGCTTACCTACAATGTCTTCATAGGCATTCTCCTCTAAAGTGCTTTTGGAGTTGGGCCGAGTCCGCGTGCCTGTGGTCAGTGTGCCGTTCTCTGTAGGTGAGGACGGATAAGAAGAAGGCAGACTACTCGTAGCATTCTCCGACTCACATGACTCCCTGGGAAGAAATGAAGAAAGCCAAAATAGACCATGGCAGGGAAATATGTTAAAGTGGACACAGACAGGGGCAAACAGAAAAGGCCCAGATAGCATTAAAAATAGCCCAGATTAAGCACAAAGATTGAAACTCCAGGATCAACATCCAATATCAAGGCAGTTCCTGGTCATAAGTCATAAGTAAACAAACAGTTATCTTATATCTTCTCTGCGCAGTACAGGTTCAAATCACCAGGACACTGCAGAGGAACGTTGCTACGTTAGTGAAGGGATCTCCAGTATGTTGCACCATCGCTGCTTTTGGCTTCCACCTTAAGTCTCAAAAGTTCTGGAGCCACAGGAATGTTAAATACAGAGTCTGAATTTCATCTTAATTTCACAAAAGGACTATCTGGAGAGGCATCGCCCTCAAACCGAGTCGGCTGAGCCTGAGGGCCTCTTGTAAGTACTTTTGCAAACGTAGATTTATCAGCGCCCTGTGAACAGTTCAGGTAACGTCGTATTTACGAAACCTGCTCTTCATCTGGCAATCGGCGCCTTTGAATGGACCTCCTTCTCTCTTTCAATCATGCATCAGCCAAAGTCAAAGCAGCAAAAAACTAAAATTCAGCGATAACAAAGAAAAGCATGATGTACTACGATACGACTGAGAGCAGTGATGGTGTTTGTTCATACCTCGCCATGCTTTTAGGCGCACATTACAAAACAAATACGCCTGAAGTGGGTGCAAAAGCGTTTGAGGCCCTGAGAGTTTTAAGTTAAGAGGAACTCCAGGTTCCAAGATTCAGATGATGTGACATTAAGAAAGAGGCTCTATGATCTAGTCTTTCGCAGGCTTCTGTAGGTTATTAATTGAGTACGTTCAGTTACAGGCAGATTACGAGGAAACATATTTTCGATTAAGAAAATACTGTGAATTTGCTAGGAGTGTGTAAACATTTTCAAGTCTGTTCGATGCATCGGTTTGTTTATGAGCTGCGCTTGTGGTTTGAAGAAGGCATTTACCTCATGATGAACCAATGAACCTGGGGGATCTAAAGAAATTCACGGCACCCAATAATAAATAAACATTGAAATTGCCGTAAACACTGATATTCTCACCTGTCCTGTGGTCTCGCCGGGGGGCTCCCCTCGGCCTGCACCGTCCGATTGACGCTGGGTGCAGGGGTCAGGGGCAGCGGCGGCGGGGACTCGAGGGCTTTGCTTGGAGGTATTCCGTTGGCCGGCGACTCGCCCTCCTGGCCCCGCTTGGCGTCGTACTCAAAAGTGCGTTTGGGCTTCGGTAAGGGGTTGACGGGTGTGCCGACAGCCGGCGGTTGGCCCGGCGGTTCCGGGCTCTCGGACCTGGCCGAGCACATGCTAAACCTCTGTCTGAGCTTACAGAGCTTATCGGACACCAAAACAGCGTCGGGTTCCGTGGCCACTGAGCAAATGCTGCTGCGCTTACTGGTGCAGGTGCTGTCCAAGTCGTCTCCGATCACAAACGACTTTTGTCTTGTCTTGTCGGGAGCATAGCAGTTACTCAGATATCGTGGAGGGGATGGGCTGGGGTTCTCCTTCAGGGCTTGCTCTATCTTTTGTATCCTGTTCAGAACGGCTGACGTCTCCTTGCGGGCGGACAGGGAACGCACAAATGTTCCCGAGGACTCCGTCTTCCCTGTCCTCTTCTTGAAGCGGCCTACGCCGTCTTTGTCGGAAACCCCTTCCTCTTCCTCTGTGTAGGAGCATTCTGAGAAAGCCGTGCTCATCCTGCGGACAGCCTTGAAGTCAAACGCCTTCTCGCTACAGGGAGAAGAGAGCAGGCTGGGGCAGCCCTCGCTGCCCCCGACGCGCTCTCCTCTTTTATCGACGCACAAGCTCATCCTATGCAGAGCCCCCCTGCGGCACTCCCATTCTGAGATCTTTTTGCGGATGGCGGTGGGGGGAACACCCGCTACCGAGCGGGGAAGAGAGAGAGCGCCCTTGTGGCTTTGGTTGGAGGAAGGTCCCAGGGAGAGCGTGCTCCAGCTCAGGGGCCCGCCGTTTAGTCCATCTCCCCTACAGGGTTCCCCCGGTGGCTCCTGGCCGCATGGACTTTCCCCGCAGGATTTGGTTGGAGCCTGAGGCTTGTAGATGGAGAGCCGGTTGTCCAAACAGCTGATGCTCTTTGACTTGGTGAGGCGGCCTTGGAAGTCGGTGTCACCAGTGGGCGACGCGCCGCCGCAGAAGGTGGCGGTCTTGCTGCTCCATTCAGCGCGCACTAGGAACCTGCCGTCGGTCCTGGCGTACCGTCTCTGCTTCCCCGAGTTTTCCCCGTCGCTGAGGACAGGCTGCTGGCTCGGCCCCTGAGTGGCAGCGAGAACGGGGGACGCCGATGTGGACCGGCACCTTTAACCAGAGAGAGAAAGGTGTGAACTATTTACATTGCAAACATTCGGATGATTCTATGACTCACACAAAAAAAGAAGCATTATAACCAAAAGAGGCAAATCCAACAAAAACACTGAGAAAAGTACCAGAAACTTGATGTTGAGCAGATGGGAGGGAAACTGTTGGGAATGAGCTGAGAATTATGAATTCATTTACAAGATGAAAGACAGAATGGAACCTTTTTTTGAGCGTGACAAGTCCAAAAGAAATACAGGAAACATTAAAAAGCCACTGTGGATTTTTTTCCACATAACCAAAATATAAAACACAAGCCAAGTGTCAAGCAAGATTCATAGAGCGGCCTTACCTGTGAAAGTCAATCTACTCCTCTCTTGTCCTCGCAGCTTTCTTTCTGAAGTGATACTAGGTGTTACAGCCCCACACGTAGCGCTGACCGCAGCACGCACGCTGCTCTGTCAAGCTGCTCACTTCCTTTACGAATTCCAAATAAACTTTCCCCACACAATGCCCGACACTACTCTACTACTCCTACTGTGACTCGGAGGCTGGCTAAGTCTTGCAAAAGTGAAGCGTTGAGAGATATCTGATGTCACAGCCATGGTTAGAATAACAAGCCTCATGGGAGGAGGAAGCTGAGGGCTGCGGACTGTGATCCAACAAAGCAGGTTAGGACAGATCGCTCGCTTCTCACCTACCTGCCCTTCCCTGGATTCATTCCTCCAGCTCCAGGGAGCGGAGACTTTTTTTCAACTGCTGGGAACCAGTCAGCTGCAAGCTTGCTCTTTGCACCTTATCTTACTTTCCCTGAAGGAATATGAGATTTGAGACAAAGGCTTGTGGTTTAAAATGTTTACTGCTGGTTTGTAGAATTCTGAAGTCCAATAAATAGATTTTTTGTAGCATGCAATGGTTTGGATGCTGAACTAATATATCAATGAAAACAAGTTCAGCTTGGTAGCTGGTAACCGGTTTGTTAATGCAAAGTGTTCATCATAGAGAACATGAACTGTTTACACACCAGCCTTGACTCATATTTCCTATTATTAACCACATTAATAGTCAGAAATATCTGCTCACGATATAAGTGTTTATAAACTATCTATGTATGTTTATACACTAATCATCTCTGAAACAAGAAGACTTAAACAAAAGACTTTCTGCATTTTCAAGCCTTTTCTCATGACACAACACTGTTTGCTTGTGATTTATTTTGTTTTGAAGAAGATACTTCTTGAACACACTTGGTATTAACCGTGTCAAACATGAGACATGTTGCAGAGCTTCACGAGGGAGCTATTAGAATTTGGCACATTCAAATGTTTCGCTGCTAAAACTCACAACTCAACTTAGTATGTATGACCAGGGAGGGAGCGGAGTATCAATGGGGGTATTTCAGTAGCAACCACACCGAACACTAATGCCAGTAACAATACCACTAATTGAGTTAATGACAGCAATTAAAATTTTTGCTCTTTGGTTTGATGGCTGCTAGTTAAAACACGGGTGCGATTCTCCGAGCTCAAAAAAATGATGTCACATGTTTGCCTGTGATCTAGTGCTTTGAGATCTGAGACTGCATCTCTGTCTCGTTATATATATACTTGTAAATTGCTTATATATTGTTTACATATTGTGTACTTTGTATGACTGTACTTGAATTTGTTATTGTTCATCTGTTCACATCAATGCAGTCTCAAGTCAACCGCAAAAAAAAATCACCGAATACAATATACAAAACAGGTTTTAAAATATTGTCCTATAGGATTATGATTCATGCTTTGAAGGGAATATGTAGACTGCAAAAAAAAGAAAAAACATGCACAATTGTCTATTTGGGGCTTACAGGTACCTTAAGGGGTTCCGTTGGTCTGGATCATGCCTGTAAAAACAAGTCCAGCCACACACACAGTACGGTACAAAGCGCTACATGCCAGTCCCGACCTGGCCTCTGGCTTCCACTCAGGCTGTCAGGACACGCTATCAACAGGGCACTTCCTGTTACTGAGCAAACCGCTCGCACAAACAGCCCCTCTGCCATTATGGTTCAACAAATGTGAACTTTTTCATCTATCAGCACTCGGTTCTGCATGATCACACATACAGCTGTGATAATGAATCACAGGTGTTTGGAGGTTTATCTGCTTGTATACACATAAGATACATTCAGGGAATGTGCATATCTGGGTGTATGAATCTCTAGTCACAGTAGAGGGAGTAGTCTCTCTCACACCGTTGTTTTGTGTCACTAAAGCACCTTTCTGGCTTTTCTTACCTCAATTCAGCGCTAATGTTTTGTTTGTTTTGTATTTGTATTTTTTACCACAGTGTTACTGTATGTTAGCTGTGTGCCCCATGACGCTACACGGTTTGTTGCCCTGGAAACTCAATCTCTCAGTTTCGGAGAATGCTTTGTTTAGCACTATAGACTCATTTTATCCCAATTTGTTAAAAACACAGGAGCTGCAAAGTGTCTTTGTGATTTGTAAGAATCTAGGATAACATGAGCCTGTGAGGACAGCGAGCTGGTAAAACGGCTACTGCAATGACAATTGCATTAATCAAAAGAGGCTGAGGTTAATTGCAACATTATCATATTAGAGTAATGCAGTCAGAAGGTGCCGCTGCGATTAGTGTTTTTCACACATTTGCATCATCCAAGTTTGCTTTGGGAATAGCAGTGAACTTACACATTTACATGCAAATGAATGCCACTTATCTTAATCCTAATATTTACATTATGATTAATATTCGTGCAAATTGCCATTTCCAGTAGAACTAATTTACCAAGCTGCCACTTCGTGCTTTGTGTATGAATTACTGCTCTGTGTGTGTCTCCCACAGCATCAGCAGTGCCAGTCAAAAAGTAGCACTATTAGAAAACGGATAAACAGTCAGCCAAACACAACTCAAAGTCAGGCTGCCGCAAAGTGATGTAACAGTATGAACACAGACTCCATTTCCCCGCTATGAAGCACAATGATCGCGTGTAACTACTGTATGTGAGATGAGAACCGTCTGGCTGTTCCTAAAATAAACTTGGCGGTTAAAGAACACGGACAGGTTGATAAATTGTAAGAACTAATAGTATAGATATCACATATCATTCCCAAAGTTAGTTTTTCTGTCCCAGCAGGACAACGTCAGCTCTCGACATGCTAACACAAGCGCCGGCTCGCTACTCACGGTGCAGAGTCGGACGGGGCCCTCGTCCGGGATACAGGATCACACTTGCAAAAGGTTTGGAAGTCTTATCAAGACGTTCGTTCCCATTAGGGAACTTTATCTCCGTCAGTTCGGATGCTTTGACACATTGTGACATGGACGTACACATTAACCAGCCCACCCCTGATGTCCCGGATGTCACTGACCTGTCGGGGACTTCCTGGGGAGCTTTACCCCCTCCTGCTCGAGGCACAGCCTTCGAACACTTGTTGGCAGTCATGTTTGTCCGCAAGCCGCTCACTCACCTAATGGACAAACACGAGGATGGGAAACATTCAATCAGTAAATAAACATGAGCTCGTGCTGTAGATCGAAACACCTCTAAGGTTGTTTGGGTTCGTCAATGAGTGTTATTAGGAATTAACACTATTACTAAAAATATTAAAGGAAATTCGACCGTGTAAATACACAAAAGGATCCACACCAGTCTTGAGCATGGACAAAACTTCTGGTGCCACATCAAATACAAGGTGGCCAACATTCCAGTAAGGCCACAGCTTATTAACTCTGGCATCAAACTATGAACATAAATAAAGGAAATCATGGTCTTGATCACTACAAATAGCTTGACTTTTAACACTGTTAATTCAGACTCAAAACATAAGTAGCATGAGAGTCCAGAGAAAGGTAGTTGTTGAGCTTCAGCTTAGAAATACGACAAAGCAGCGGCTTTTGCCACAGACGCCGTGTTCAGGTGGATGGAAGTGCCATAACCAACACAACTGATGCTTCAGCTAAAGCTTCTTCTCCACAATAATAAAACAAGTTAGACAACACAGAACAAGATTTGCTGCCACTAAAAGGGTTCAACTGACATTATTTGAACAACATTTGGATCATAGCCACAGGAGGCCTTTGGAAATAATTCCAGTTATATTGCCCCTGCCTGGTTTGTTGTACAGGATTAAATCAAGGTCAGTTTGTCTGTCCCTGCGCTTCATTCTATTTGGAGATTGCCGAGCTGCTGCCTTCAGGTGGCTGCAGATAATTAACCCGTGTTATACAGACTATAAGCAGCTGAGGCTGTAAATAGTCTCATTAAAGGGTCAATTGAACAGACATTTAGCACAGCCTGACAATAGTGAATTTTCAAGCCTAATACTCATATTTAAGTGTTTATAACATCAGATACTAATTCTGTATCGCGCTATAGTCTTTTATTTTTTTATTAAGAGACAACATAAACAAACATGTGTCCACAATATTTACTAACTGTAGAAAATAAACCTTTCACTACAAACTATGTCATGAAGACAGTTTATAACACATGCATGTTGTTTTTATTTATGGTTCAGACTAATTTAACCTGCTTTATTTAACAACATGAAAAGTCCAAGAACAGCAGGAAATAATAAACATTTCCTGGACTTAAACTCAAATTAGACTAGCAGTTTGTTCAAAGTATTGCCGATTGCCCCCGAAAGTCACTCTCTGAAATGCAGCAACGGCCTTTTTGAAAAGGGTCAAAGCGAATGTTCTGCACCATAAGGGGGTCAAACGCAGATCCTCAGAGATTAGAGGTGGAGGATGGGAGGGTGTTTGGCAGCATGGCTTGTTTACAGGAAGTTGTTGTATGGAGAAGCCAGCCAACCAGTGGTGAAGCTGAGTCCTATAGAGACAGATGAGGACGGAGAGGGAGCATTCCTGCCGTCAGCTATTTCCTGTAACTGTCGATTGTGCTCAAACGACGGGACATGCATCATTACTTTCATCAAATAATTATGTTGTCCTGTCAAAAACAAAACACGACACTCACATTGCGTTTCTACAGACAACCGAATAGGACATGATCACTTTGAAGACGTGTTCCGTGTTGCGGGCGTTACTTCCGCCATCAAATGTACACGTGCGCGCCGATGCATTGACCGGTGTGTCAAGTTTGTAGGTGACGGAAGGGAGATTCACTTCTCAAATCATCTCTATTAATCAAAGAGCCGTAGTCACATTTGGGGAAAATAATACTGATGTCATTGAGGATTGTCCAGTGAAAATAGACTATCTGGATTTCCAAATGTAAAAAAAAATAATGAACGACTAAATAATATATCCATGATTGCATAATAAAACAAAACAAATCTGGACAGGAAATTGAGCCAGAAATGCTTAAGAAATAAAATATTTCATAGTACTTTAATTTAGACCAAATGAAACAAAGTTCAGACACACTGGCAGTTGTCTAAAATATCTTTCTGATTAAGACCTGCTGGAAAAATGTTAGATGTTTTTGGAAGAGAAATTCAATATTTTCTCCTTGATTGAAAACATGAAGCTTCAATTTGTAAAACCTTAAAGGAAACATACAGAGAGTAGAGAAAAACAGATGTCAGCTGCCAGGAGCTAACGCAATTAAATGATTTTAAATTGTGTCAGCTCCACGCAGTTTAGTTAAATTAAGCAACGTTTACTAGTAAGAATTCCTTGTTATATTTTCTTTGTGGGGGGGGGGGGCTGAGAAAGCCTAAATGACAGAAATGGCTCCCAGAGGCCCAACACGGACTCTGCAGTGTAAACACCAAGGCGTTAGCCAACTGACTTCCTGAGGTCTGATACCATCTCCCTACACAAAATCACAGGCGGTAAACAACCACTTCTGAGAAAGCTCTGAAGTACCTTTACGTTACAGCCAGACAGATTCAAGGCAATGTTTCACTAGTAATGGACCAGTGGTCAAGAGGGAGACGCCCACCGCTTCATTCGGACTCCTCCAATCGTTTCACTTTCATAATGAATACCTTGACGTTTAATGAAGGCGAAATGTTTGTGACCACCTGAGGATTTTGATTCCTAATATGAATCCGGTTTCCCCTGGGGGAAATATCTGGACCTTTCACTGCTAAATGCTCAATAATGTTCACCAGGCCTTCGCTAAATGTGTCTTTCGGGCGTCTTGCACATGATGCGTTTTTAGTGCTTGTTCTGGTTGCCTAAAAAAAAAGCTTCAATGCCGCAGATGGAGACAACACTGATGAGAATTTGGGGATTGGACCAAAACAATAAAGTTGCGCCCTGAAGACCGAAAGAATGAAGTGAAAAACACCAAAACTTCCTGCAGATGTGAGGCGGGAATTGAAACAATAGGATTTAATTATCTGTGACTACACCACAATGAGCAACACCATTTAGATTACACCACTGTTAATATGCAGCGATTTATGGGAGCAGACTTACATATTGACACCAGGCCTGTTGTGTGACCTCATTGTTGATGAAACTGAAACCAACCAACCAGGTTGGAGAGAAAAAGGACTAAAGGTTTTGGGACTGTGTCTTCTTGACTGCTTCTTCTGTTGTTCGTCAAACAACACATCTAGCTTTAAAGACGTTACGAGTTCTTTTTCATTCTTCCTGGTTTTGTCATGTTCGTATACCAGACTTACTAATTGATTACAGGGGAGGGATATCGGTGACGCACATCTTTCTCAGCAACAAGAGCATATTCATGACATGAATGGGTCTCCATTACACAATCTGGGCTGGAATAAAATAAAAGAGCCTTTGTGTCCAATGTGTCCTTGAGAGGGAGATGTGGTTAAAGCAGTGAGTCTCTTATCAGCTGCGTGTGTGTGTGTGTGTGTGTGTGTGTGTGTGTGTGTGTGTGTGTGTGTGTGTGTGTGTGTGTGTGTGTGTGTGTGCTTGCGTAAGAGACACCTTGACTAGCAGTTAAAATATCTTTCAAAAGAGAGTCTGCACGTCATAGACCCGGTCAAACACGGCAGATCATCTCATGCACTTTCCTCTTAACTAAAAGCAGGAATGTGTTATTATTTTTGGTTTCCATCAGACTTGTGGCTGCATTTACAATATTAAAAAAATGTCTTCAGAGTGTGAAAAAAAGCATAGGAGCAGCACAGAAGCACCTGGACTTGATGGCAAGATCTTGTTTTTTATTCAACAAAAGACTAAACCCAAACATGTGCTCTCTCGGCACCTGGCACGATTGTATGTAAGAATTTTATGACGTCAAACAATTATTTGGCTGTAACTGGGTTCAATTGGAGATCGGTCCTATGGTGTATTAGTTTGTCCTGAAATGTGCAGTAGCAGACACAAGGATCCATAAACAGTCTAATATTGTCTTCTGTCTCCTCCCACCCTGTGATTCCGGCTGACCTGCTCCTCATTTTCTGCTGATTAGAGTTCAAGGTTTTTGAAAAACACTGCCGAGCTTATCAAGAAGCAACAGGGCATAAGGGAGTGAAAATTGCTGTAGATTCTCAAGTCTTTCCAGACTTCACAACTCACTGGCAGTCATGAGGCCACACAGTGATACATGCCATTGTTTCAATAAGACTCGAGCTGGCATGTTGCATTGTGGGAGTTGCAGAAATATTCTGGTCCAAGAGAATCAAGGTCTTGATACTAAATAATTCAGTCTGCATGAAAGCATCTATAAGACCCCACACGAGCTGTACATGAGAGATGCAAACACAAACAAACAGCCCTGGGTTGCAGGAATGAATTAAAAAATGCAGCTCAAACTAAAAGCCTGATGTATTACACTCTGGATTTCTTCACATAACCAGCTGACTCTGGCAGCCTGAATATGTCTTTCATGTAAAAGAAAACCACCAAGGTTGTTGCACAGCCGTACCTATATAATTACCCCCATGCTCTACCACATAGCTCGCCGTGCTGCCACTATGTAGCTCAATGGACCAGGTGGAACCAATTCATGGAATCTTTTTTTATCTTGTTTTTCAGCCACTTCAGCTTTTTTCTCTTTCTTTTTTTTCCTGAGTGGCCATGGCATATTTTCTCTTTGTGGAAGAGAGGAAAAACCCTTCTGTGTAACGTAGATATGAGCATGCACAGCTGCAGAGGCAGGCATGTGGAAAACAGGCTTAAATCCATCGGAGCTGCAGCAGGGGGGCTAGAGATGTGTCACAGAGCGGACCTCTGACACCCAGGCTTTGACTGTTCTAAGGACATTAAGGAGATAAGATGTATT